CTCCCCGCTTATGCAAATGAAGCCCGGGAAATTCAAATCCTGGGCTTCATTTGCAAGTGCGGTATGCCTACATTACCCTCCTAGTTCGAACTAGCGGGATAGTGTAGACATACCCTGTGCTAGCTGGGACAAAAGACAGGACTAAGCACCGAGGGCTGGCTAGGGGAAGCGCCGTGTGGCATGGTCCAGGTGGCACTGAGGTCTGGCTGCCTCTAGTCCCTCCCCTACAGGTGGGCACTGTAGTCAAGGCCCCGGCCCTCATCGCCCGAAGCCTCACAGCCCTGAGCCCACTGATGGACCACCTAGCTCTCAGTTTAAACAACTCCTTACCTTGAGCTAGAGATTTCAGTGTGCAGAGGGCAACCTGATTAAGGGCAACATTTAAGTTATACCACAAGTTGACATTGCAAGACCATATTAGGTCTGTGGCAGAGCAGAGGCATAGGTCCAATCTCCCAAGATCCAGGCTAGTGCACTAATCGCTAATCCATCTTTCCTTTGTGATTGCAGTTCCCGCAGGGTGCAGTTCAAAGGAAGCACTGTGTTTATGAAAATAACCATTCAGTATAGAAGATTAACATGTTATTTGGATGGACAACCTTGACCTAGTGTACATTCTTGGTAGCAAATAATATTTTTGATTATTCATAAATTTCATCACTAATTAATGTCAAAACTTCCCTCGGCCATAATAGTTATATTAGGCCAGGGGTGGGCAAAAGGGCCTCTGCGGGCTGGATCTAGACCGCCCAGCAGGTTGATCCAGCCCACGGAGACCCTGCTGCTCCCCCGCCCCTAGGCCAATTAGGGCCTGAGGACAGGGGAAGTGCACAAAGTTTCCTCTCCCTAGCCAGGAGTGCGCAGCACTTAGAAGTGCCATACGCTCCTGGCAGAGCAGGAGGAGACTTCACCTGCTCTCCCATCCCCAAGCTCTGATTGGCCTGGGTGCAGAAGATGGAGCATGCAAATTCTCCTCCCACTTCCAGGGGCATGGGAAACTCTGAGGGGGCAAAGACTTCACGCGCTTCCCCACCTCCAGACCAATCATGGTCTATGGGTGTGGAAGCAGGGAAGTATCCTTGTCCTTCCCCTTCTGCTTGAGGCCCCGCCTCTTCCAGGGTGGCCCAGGTCCACTTCAAAACATTTCTGAAGTGGCCCTGGTAAAAAAATTATTGCCCACCCCTGTATAAGGCCATGAACTTTGCCTCTTCTGAATGTTACTGAGGGCCAAGTAGTGGATATCTTCATCAGCAGGAGCTGCATAAGTAATGCCTTATCCATTATTTGAATATCAAGCACTTCCTCTTTTAATTATCATGCAGCTCGTTTTTCAGCATAACTCACCCTTGGGAATTTGCTCATATTTTAGAAGTTTATCTTTAAATGCAGACACTCATGGACAGAGATGCAATTCATAGCTGAGCTGGTAAAGAAATGATTGGTAGTTACTGGAAAAACAACTCCTGTTATTGAACATGAGTGGAGCTAAATTTGGGATATCATTAAAACTAGTGAATTTTTAAATAAAGATAACTTGGAATCTGTTCCCCAACACTTGGACTCGATGAAAATGCTCTGGTGTGGGCTTCCAGATTTGAAAATATGCATAGTGGAGTTGTTAATTTAAAACATATTAGACAAAGTGTAATTAGTGTCTTGTTGTGCATTACAGTATTTTGGGTTTTTTAATATCTATGCCAGTTAATACTAACTGTATGTATTGATATCACTATATCCTGCATGCTGAATGATTTACTAATGATTAATTTGTTTGTGTATTCTTATAGTCGCAGATCTGGCCAGTATACAATGAACCATGAAAACGCTAAGAAGTCCACAGAAAGGTCACAGTTTGACCACTCAGGTTCCCAGGATTCCTTGGATGAGTTGTCAATGGATGACTATTGGAAAGAACTTGAAAACATCCATGAAACCAGTGAAAATAATCGTAGAGAGCAAGAAGTGGTGGTGAAAGAACCTGATGGTAACATTTTGATGAATGATTATTTTAGTGCCTACTGATTGAGTTACTCAGTTCTGAGACACCTTAGGATCATTTTCAGAGCTGCTGATCCCCCAAAAACTCCGAATGAGTCAATAGGAGCTATCCAGTACCTCTGGAAATCAGGCCCTGGGTGCCTCAATTTGGACATCCAATAAATGAGAGGCTGCTTAGAAAAACCCTGTCTTTAAAGAGAATAATGCCAGAGTAGATAAAATATCAATTTTATTTTCCTTATAAAGGTATTTCCAAATGTTCTGTATTCTCAAATTATACTAGTTTAAGATTTATAGACAGATTATATTCCTGTCTTAAGGAAGAAAAGGATTTGTTAAGCCATTAGGAATTACAGTAGATAAGATAAAGTTGCACATTAGGCATAAATCTCATGCTTCCGAACAGAAGCCAAGCATTACCTGCCTGGGTTTAGGAAACATCAGCTCTTACAGTTGTGACATGGTATAATCTGTTATGGGGGTTTGAGACTTTCTGGTAGAAAATTGGGTATCAGTCCCTATCAGCAGCGGTGGCCTGTGCTTATAGGCAAACTAGGCAGCTGCCTAGGGCGCCAAGTTGTATGGGGCACCAAATTCCAAACCCTGCCCCTTCCATTTCCCATGCCTTACCTGGAGCACGGTTTCCCTGCGGCCCGGAGGGGGGTAAGTCCGGGGAGAGGCAGCATGCGGGGGGGGGTAGAAAATTGGGTATCAGTCCCTATCAGCAGCGGTGGCCTGTGCTTATAGGCAAACTAGGCAGCTGCCTAGGGCGCCAAGTTGTATGGGGCACCAAATTCCAAACCCTGCCCCTTCCATTTCCCATGCCTTACCTGGAGCACGGTTTCCCTGCGGCCCGGAGGGGGGTAAGTCCGGGGAGAGGCAGCATGCGGGGGGGCCTGCACTACGGGAGCGGGGGTTGAACCCGGGCAGATGCGTGTGGGGGTTTGGCTGCGCCGAGGGAGGAGGAGGCACGCGCCGGCTTCCCTCTGGGGGGTGGGGAGAATCCTGGGAGGAGGCGGCTGCAGGGGACTCTCTGCCCCCACTGGCCCCCTGTTCCCTCTCCCTGGCCCCCAGCCCCCGAACTCCATCCCCAGCTCCCAAGCCCCCGGCCCCCAGCCCCCAGCCACAGAACTCCATCCCCAGCCCCTCGGCCCCTAACACAGAACCAAAACCCTCAGTCGATATCTGCCCTTGGTGTTGCGGGGGGGCACCGATTGCATGGTTCGCCTAGGGTGCCAGTTGCTGGCAGCTAGTCTAGGGCCGTCCCTGCCTATCAGAGATAGGATTAGGCATGAGATGTACTGATCCAGTATGCAACTTTTCCAATAAAGATTCAAAGCCCTGAATACCAGAGTGATTGCTTGAAGTAAGTGCTTATTTTCAACAATATGGTGTGTACTTCTCCCAAAGATACAAAAATGTTAGGAAAGAAAATAACACAACTGACATTATTCCAAAATAACAAAGAGCGCTTCTACAGTGCAACCCATTATTTCAAGATAATGGCAAGCTGGAGGACTTCTTACTCCAACTCCTGTAACCCTCATTTCACGAGGACTAAGGGAGATGGAAGGAACAGTGTTTATCTTTCAACTTCCTGCTGTGTAGACCGCACCAAAGGCCAAATTAAGCTATTTGACTTCAACTACGCAAGTTGTTCAAGTTGCGTAGCTTAATTTGACTTCAGCTCTGCTGTGTAGACATACCCTTGGGCACTCATCCCTGAGGTTATATTTCAGAGGAAGGTAACACATTAGATACCTTATTTCTCGTCCTTACTCCAAATTCTGAATTTCCTACTTAGGGAAAACTCCCTAGTCAGTGGGGAGCTTTGACAGAGAAAGGAGTTCAAGATATGGCTCCAATTCAGTAATACATTTGCAATACAGACTTCTGCTGTTCAGTAAGGGCTCTACTCTTTTTACTTTTCCATGAATACAAAGATGCTCACCAGGGTTTAAGAGAAACTAGGCTACAGCAAATAACAATGTTGAAGAATATGTGTTGGATTCATATCTCAGATAAACTGATGTCAATCCAGGACTACCAGATTGATTTAACTGAGATGAGAATCTAGCTCTACATCACTAATGATCATTACAAATTTGAGGGCAACATCAAAGGTCAGTATAATCCAGTCCACATCAGTACAGGGATTGGTAGCAATTCTTAAACAAACACCATTATGTCAAAATGTATTTGAAGAATACAGGTACTATTACACCCTTGGTCGATTGCAATAAATAACAGATGCCTTCTGCCTTTTTGCAATGAAATGTCAATAAAAATACATAATCAGCTAGAAACAACAAAGCAATGATCATCTTACTGAATAACAGTGCAGATTAGAGATGGCATCTGTAGAGATTGCATTAAAATCATCTATTACATTGAATCACCCCGATCAAATAGAACTAGAACACACAAGTGAAAAACTGTAGGAATTAGTGTTTTAAAAAAAGCAAACAAAGGCAAGTAAAAGGTATAAAAAAATAGAGCCCTGACCTATAAATAAAGTGGTGCCGATTAAAGGCTTTCAAGCTTTTATATTTTTTTCACCTGCTCCACTGGAATAGGGAGAGTTGGCAGAGAAACAGGTCTTTCCTGCTTAGTTAGAAACTGAAACATTTAAGAGCAGTAAGGGTCATGTTTGTAAATGGCTTATAAAGGATTTAATGCATAGAAGTTAATTAACATGTTATGAGTAGATGGTTATAAGCATCTCAGCAGAAGGTGCTTTAGATTGTTATAAATCACCTGTTGTAATTGGTCAGACCAGGGCAAGGGGCCTCTGTAAGCCGAATCTGGCTCACCAAGCAGCTTGATTCAGCCCATGGCCACCCTGCTGCTCCCTCATCCCTAGGCCAGTCGAGACCTGGAGACATGGGAGCGTGCGAAGTCTCACGCTCCCTGCCCCACCCTGCCAGGATAGAAACTCGCACTCCTTGCAGAGCGGGGTGGGGAGTGAGAGACTCTGCATGCTCCCCCCAGGCCCTGATTTCCTCTCCCTGCCAAGGGTGCACGGCCCCAGAGGGAACCACATGCCCCAGGCAGGCCAGGGCAAGGTGGAAGAGCGAGAGACTATGTCCAATCCCCTGCCCCCAGATCCTTCCCAGCAGCTAGGAGGTGTGGCTGTGAGAGGAGGGGAGGTACCTTTCGAACTAGGGGAAAGCCTCCCTTTGGCCCCCCCCTTCTGATGTTTTTTCTTTTTTCTTCCTCCCTGATCCCGATTGGCCTGGAGGCAGAAGTAACGTGAGAAGGACATGGGGGGTTCAAAAGAGCTGATGGGTCTCTCTAGGTGCTGGGCGCCCCAGCAGGGTGGGGGACAAAGACTTCACATGCTCCTCCACCCCAGGCCAATCAAGGTCTGTAGGTCAGGGAGCACTGGAAGTATCCTGGCCCTGCTCTTTCTACCTGAGGCCCCACCCCTTCTGGGGCAGCCCGCGACCAGTTTCAAAATTCGCAAAGTGGCCCTCCTTCAAAAATGATTGCCTACCCCTTGGTCAGACTGTATCACAATCTACAGAAATGAAAAAGGATGAATCACATTTAGACACCATAGACATCCCTTTAATATAAAGCAGAACCATGCTAAGAATTGCACTCCACTTGAGGACCCTCCTGGACCTTTTCCAGCTGGTTCACACAGACTACACTGTGTGGCTTTAACTCCCTGTGCTCAGATAGAAAGCTCAGACCCAAAATCTAGCATTCACGTCCTTTGATTTTTCTCTTCTCCCCTGGAACAGAGGGAGAACTGGAAGAAGAGTGGCTAAAAGAAGCTGGGCTGTCAAACCTTTTTGATGAGAGTGCTGGAGACTCCCTCGACAGCATGGTGTTTCTATCCACATTGACACGAACTCAGACAGCAGCAGTACGAAAACGAGTGGAAACTGTCTCTCAGACCCTGAGGAAAAAAAACAAGCCGTACCAGGTTCCTGACGTCAGAGATATCTTCAGGCAACAAAGTGATTCAAAGGAAAAAGTAAGCTCCTTACTGTGTCTTGGCTTTGTTCCGCAATGCTAAAACCCTGGCTGGGCTTTTCAGAATGGCTCAGTACTGGTGTAAAAAATGTCCATTGACTTTGGTGGCAGAAAAGCTGGGCCAATGATGAATATTTTTAGCGCATAGGGTGGAGTTTTCATAGAATAATAGGACTGGAAGGGACCTCAAGAGGTCATCGAGTCCAGTCCCCCACCCTCAAGGCAGGACCAAGCTCCATCTACACCATCCCTGACAGATGTCTATCTAACCTGTTCTTAAATATCTCCAGAGAGGGAGATTCCACCACCTCCCTTGGCAATTTATTCCAATATTTGACCACCCTGACAGTTAGGAATTTTTTCCTAATGTCCAATCTAAACCTCCCCTGCTGCACTTTAAGCCCATTACTCCTTGTCCTGTCCTCAGAAACCAAGAGGAACAAATTTTCTCCTTCCTCCTTGTGACACCCTTTTAGATATTTGAAAACCGCTATCATGTCCCCCCTTAATCTTCTTTTTTCCAAACTAAACAAGCCCAGTTCATGAAGCCTGGCTTCATAGGTCATGTTCTCTAAACCTTTAATCATTCTTGTTGCTCTTCTCTGTACCCTTTCCAATTTCTCCACATCTTTCTTGAAATGTGGCGCCCAGAACTGGACACAGTACTCCAGCTGAGGCCTAACTAGTGCAGAGTAGAGCGGCAGAATGACTTCACGAGTTTTGCTTACAACACACCTGTTGATACAACCTAGAATCATATTTGCTTTTTTTGCAACAGCATCACACTGTTGACTCATATTCAACTTGTGGTCCACTATGACCCCTAGATCCCTTTCCGCCATGCTCCTTCCTAGACAGTCGCTTCCCATCTTGTATGTATGGAACTGATTGTTCCTTCCTAAGTGGAGCACTTTGCATTTCTCTTTATTAAACCTCATCCTGTTTACCTCTGACCATTTCTCTAACTTGCTAAGGTCATTTTGAATTATGTCCCTATCCTCCAAAGAAGTTGCAACCCCACCCAGTTTGGTATCATCTGCAAACTTAATAAGCGTACTCTCTATCCCAATATCTACATCATTGATGAAGATATTGAACAGTATGGGTCCCAAAACAGACCCTTGAGGAACTCCACTTGTTATCCCTTTCCAGCAGGATTTAGAACCGTTAACAACAACTCTCTGACTACGGTTATCCAGCCAATTATGCACCCACCTTATCGTGGCCCTATCTAAGTTATATTTGCCTAGTTTATCAATAAGAATATCATGCGAGACCGTATCAAATGCCTTACTAAAGTCTAGGTATATGACATCCACCGCTTCTCCCTTATCCACAAGGCTCGTTATCTTATCAAAGAAAGCTATCAGATTAGTTTGGCATGACTTGTTCTTCACAAACCCATGCTGGCTATTCCCTATCACTTTATTACCTTCCAAGTGTTTGCATATGATTTCCTTAATTACCTGCTCCATTATCTTCCCTGGGACAGACGTTAAACTGACCGGTCTGTAGTTTCCTGGGTTGTTCTTATTCCCCTTTTTATAGATGGGCACAATATTTGCCCTTTTCCAGTCTTCTGGAATCTCCCGTCTGCCATGATTTTTCAAAGATCATAGCTAAAGGCTCAGGTACCTCCTCTATCAGCTCCTTGAGTATCCTGGGATGCATTTCATCAGGACCTGGTGACTTGCTGACATCTAACTTTCCTACGTGATTTTTAACTTGTTCTTTGTGTATCCTATCTTCTAAACTTACCCTCTCTCTGCTTGTATTCACTACGTTAGGCACACCTCCAGACTTCTCGGTGAAGACCGAAACAAAGAAGTCATTGAGCATCTCTGCCATTTCCAAGTTCCCTGTTACTGCTTCTCCCTCCTCACTAAGCAGTGGGCCTACCCTGTCCTTGGTCTTCCTCTTGCTTTTAATGTATTTATAAAAGGTCTTCTTGTTTCCCTTTATGCCTGTAGCTAGTAGATATTAAACATCAAAGGGAAGAGCTGTTCTTCGCTACACAAAGGCAAGCAATACAAGGAAGAAGAAATTTGGTTTCAGTGTAGGGAGTTACCTGATAATTTTTCTGTTGGGTGCATTGGTATTTGACCTCTTCTCCCTTCTAGACCCCCAAAACAACAGCTGGACATTCAGCTGGGAGAAGGCACTGATTTGATGGTGGCATAGGGCCATCCACATGACATTTGGGTTTTTGGCCACTTGCCCTCATTTTTGTTCCTGAGCATTGTACTTCAAGTAAAGGCAGTGAGGTGGAGAATCTAAGACCGCTGATTTCCAATCCCCCCCATACCTTCTAGCACTGAGGAACTAAAATTCTCCAGAGGAAGTTTGTAAGATAAATGCTGTAGAAGCAGAACTTCCCCTTCAGCAAGATCAAGCTCCCCTCTGCATATGGATGGAGAGGTTATACACAAAGCGAACGTGTGTTCTTGTGTTTTACATTGTACTACTGTTAGATCGCAGAGGTAGGATAAAATGCAGTTTAGAGCAGTATCATTTCATTAACTGTGATAATTCAGCATGAAAAGAACATTCACGTTTTTGTATTTAAACCAGACCATAATTTCTGCAGCACAAACAAGAATATACCATAAAGAAGAATATACCAAAAAGAAGGGTTTAAATAGAAGAAGGGAGAGGAATCTTCCTACGAGTGCCCCTTCCATGTCACAAAATGGGAGTAAAACTGCCATTGATACTTCAATCTAATACAGCCTCTGTCTACCTTCTTTATCACTCCTCTGCTGACAGGAAAAATACAATAGAGTCATCTATCTCAAAGAGCAACAGTGTGACTGCACTGAGTGTCTCCTGGAGCCATGCTCCTTGTGTACTGAGATTGCATATACCCTTCGCAAACCTCCTGCCCTTCCCTTTCCACCCCAGTATCATGGGATGGCAGTATTTCTGCTGTATCTGGCACCCTCTTCACCCACAAGAGGTGGGTAGGATTTGGGATTTTAAAACAAAATGAACCTGACTTGCTTCTTCACTGTGTTTTGCAGTTCAATCTTATTCTCCCCAAGTCTTGGGATGTACAGCACTTATCTAAAATGCCAGACAAGAGCCAGGCCACTCAACATCTAGTTAACATTCTGAGCTGTGTAGGGAGTTAATGAAACTTTAATAGGGAGATAAGAAATGGTAAGGACAATAGATATTAAGAATTACCAGCAAATTCTGAATACTGTATCCATAATAAACTTAGAGATAAACAAGCAATGGAACTACAGCGGTCTTGTGTGTTTATAAACTCAGAACTGCATTGTAGTTGGCCCTGCAAGGCTGCACTATGGGAACAAAAACAGCGCAAGTGGCCTTTGTTCTTGCTCCCTCCTTGTCCCTTTGCAGAGTGGACCAGCTATAATGTTGCTGGGAATGCACAATTGACATTGCTAGCCTCCCCCAACAAGGCTTGGTATGACAGCACGGCCAGCATTATCCCAGGCCCACCAAAACACAGCAGGGAGTGCATGATACATTCTGCACCGGGATGACAGTGCTTCTGCTGCAGCTTGCACTTTTGGGTTGAATCAATCATAATTTCTCCTAGCAGCTCCTACTATAGTATAATAATAATAATAAATAATATCTACTTCCTATATAGTGCTTCTCATCTGTACATCTCAAAGGACTTTACAAAGGAGGGCTGTATCATTATGCCTCTTTTACAGGTTATGATATTTGAGGTTAAAGTGACTTGCCCATGGTCACCCAGCAAGTCTGTGGCAGAGCCAGAAATTGAATGCAGGTCTCCTGAGTCCCTGTTCTGTGCCTATGTAATATATGATGTCTCCTCAAGATCTCTGCTAGGGCAGACTGGGGTTTTAATCCACAATCTAGCCTTCCCCATTCATTTTGCATGTTTTGGTGGAGCAGTAGTGACATCAGAATTAAGTTTGTATCTATTTGTGCCTTTGGTTGAGGGACTTAATTTCTTATGCCCTACGTCTCTGATTAATAGGCTCCTATCAAACACACCAGTTCCACTGCTGAAAGTCCATGGGCAGAATCCATGGAGTCACACTGACTGCAGAGGGGCTCTCCTTGATTGCAAGTCTACCCTCACACAAGATCAGGACCAAAGGGGTTGCTTACATTCCATCATTTGCTGTAATATGCTGTTGGTGTTTGAGTTTAGCCATGGCTTGTTCTCTTTCTGCCTTTTTTTAGGTCTCTGGTGAGAGTGAGCCCTCATCTGTGAAAGCAAGAGAGAAAAATGAAGCTCAAGATGAAGTGAAAGACGGTAATGCTGAGTAGCTCCTCTGCTCCTTTTTTCTATTCTGTAGTGTCTTAGCTTCACGGTATACTGAAGCACTGGTCCATGTTTTCCATAACGCGTAAGAGAAAAAACCAGCTACTTGATAAACCATATGAATATAGCTGTGGGCCACAACTTTCCAAGTCTGAAACATTTTAAAATGAATGTATAGATCGTGTCCTTTGAAAAGTCTAGTAAATCTTGCGGTGATCTTACAGTGGAATGTGTTGGTAAAGGTCCGCTTTAATGGCTCAGTCTTTGCTCTTCATTTATTGCTTTGGTTGTCTCTCTTCTGCACTTTCAGCACAAGAAACAAGTGCTCTGGGCAAGTTCATCAGGAAATACAAGAAAGTGAAAGCAAAAAGACTAAGAAAAATTGAAGGATTTCCCATATATTTAGGACTCAAAGTGAGAGGAAATATCAGTGTTTAACTAGTTGATTATATTCATGGAGAGGACAGAAAGTAGGGGGAGTTGCTTGTTTTTATGGGGTAGGTTCTGTCATGCCCAGTTGAACAACAAGGTGAGTTACAGAGTGAGTTTATAAAGACCAGCCCAACCTTTATACTCCCATGAAGAGGCAGGGCCTAATTGAAATCTTGGCCTGTGTAAAAATCTATGGCAGAAGTCCCACTGATTTCAATAACTCCAGATTTCAACCCATGTTCTTGACAGTAGCTCTCCAGCCCGGTGTAGCTCTCCAGCCCTGTGTAGTAAGCGGTTGTGGCTGGTTTGCCTCTCCTATGTTTTCTGGCACTTATATTGGGGCTGTGTAGCTGCTCATCTCTGTATCCTTGTGTTACAATTGAGTCATAGTTAAAGCTAGTCAAGCCGTGAATTTGGCCTAAATACTTCTGTTATTTTTGTAGAGAATTACTCTTTCCTTTAAAAAACAAAACAAAAACATCCAAGTGATTGGATGGCATTTAGATTGTATACTGAGTGCTGGGCACTTTGTAATCACATAGACAAAAACCAATTAACCACCTTCACATGACTAGATCATTTCTTTTTAACTGTATAACCTAATAAACTATTGTTTTAATTTTAGAATGTGGATATGAAGTATTTTGGAGAAATAGCTAACAGAGGGTTAAATACAAAACATAGATAATGTAAAAAAGAGAGAGAGGTTGAAATGAGCCCTACACAGTTCTTGTGTTTCCAGAAGCATTATTAATCATACCCTCCCTGCTTTCAGCAAACCCTTTGCTGTTAAGAGCTGTGAACAACTGGGAGAGCTGCCAAAATGCTGGGTCAGCACAAGGGAAGGAAGAGAAGCCTGGTGTTCGTGTCAATAAGCTACACTAAAATTTGGGTCTGGAAAATTACCAAGCAATTATTGCAGTGTTTTATCACATCTGGTGCTTTTTTTTCCAGTGGCCCGATGAACCCTTTAGAAATGGGAAGTTCTGAAAGGCAAATTCCATATGCTAGCTCTCCCCAGCACAGATTGCAATGGGCAAGGCAAATGCAGCCTGCTTACATCCTTCTACACTTCTTCTTTTGCCAGCATGCTAAAGTGGGCTCCGCTCATGAGATTAGAACAAGAAGAAAATCAGTTCATTTTTGCAGGAAAGTCATCCAACCTGAGATGCGTTAAAAACTGCTGCACCTGTTTCAGGGCTGTGCCATGATCCCTTTCTTCAAAACTAATGAGCTAATTGATGTTATGTAAACAGTGGATGGCTTTAAAGGCAACACAAACATGTTGTCGGGTTTCACAGACACCCCATACTTATGAAATCTAAATCCAGAGGCCTTATTGTAAAGTTACAATGCTTTAACATTGTATGCAAAGTGAACTAGTACCATCCGTTATAACAGATTTTTACTTTTTCTTAGATATTTAAATCATAGTGATGCCTCTGTTTTCTATGTCCATATTTTTAAATTTGTTAATGGATGTGAAATCTATGGTTTCTCACATTCTGAAAGTGACAATTGCTCCTAATTAGATATCTGAAGTGTTCATTTCCCAAGAGCATCTGACTGGGGTAACAAATTGAGCATGATGATCATGGCGCTACAATAATACCTCGCTTTTACTATTAGCAGATCTGAGAGTGCTTTACAGAAGTGTTAGGCGCTCCAGCCCCATTTTACATTAGGAGAAATGACACAAGGTCACTAGCAGGCCAGTAGCAGAACCAAGACTAGCACCAAGGTCTATAATGATACTGAACATTCCATGGATCAAGTGAACTCAGATTCCTTGATTCTGTTCCTACTCCCTTTTTTCTTCTACTCTAACCTGAATACTTCCTTGGTTGAACAGACGTCAGCAGACTCAGGAAATAATGTGAAAGGATCTCCATTGTTCGCATTTTTTGTTCTTTCCTGACTAGTCCAATCCGGAGGTGGCAGGGAGAGGAGGGGGAAGGGAGTGAGGAGACACTTCAATCTAGTCAATTAGTCCTAGTATATAGGGAGGTTCATTTATTTGAATTGCTTGAAACCTCTGTCTCCATGGATTTTATATGTATATCTACATAACAAACAAAATCCAAAAGATACACATTGAGCTTTCAAAAATCATGTGTTATGCCTGTTGGAAATTATAACAATCTCACATATTTAACCATCCACAACTTTCACTCCTTTATCAAAAGCACAAACCCAAAAAAAAAAAAAAAAAAAAAATCACACAGCATTGCATGAGGGTAAAAAGATGCAGTTCTCTTTATATGATCATGTAAAAGTGCTCAGTTAAGAGTTAAGGACAATGAGAACATGTGCTACTTCCTCAGGAAAAAAGGTGTGCTAATTAAAAACATTAAAAAAACCTCCTGACAACTCACCACTCAGAGAAGCTACAGCCAAAGACAAATTACCAATGTTGGTCTATGGCTGGTTGTCTCATACGGCTGGTTGTCTCAGATTTAAAGGGCCAGCTTCCAGGTAAGAATGGAAAGTAAGATGCTGAACCAAAGCCCAGTGTTCAGGCAGTTAAAAAACAGATGTTTCTAAACTCTAGGAACTCTGTAAACTCTTCATTATGGCTGGTCCCATGCATGTGAATATTAGTCAGGAAAGAATGAGGCAGGGTTGGGAATGGGAGAGAGTGATTGTTGTCCTTAAGTGTACCTTAAGTGGATTGTTGTCCTTAAGTTGACAGAACGCCCCACGTATCTGTCCAGGAAAGAGGTCCCGAAAATGCCCTAGTAAGTCCCAGATGTTCCCAATCCTCCTTTTAGTGCTGAGGTGGAAGAAGGGGATTGATGGAAATGGGAGAGATGTTAGTTTGCTAGTTTCAGTTTAATGCACTCATTAGTTCAACAATTGTTTCCCAGACTTTTCATAACTCTACTCTGCTGTATTCGGACCTGTTCGACTCCAACAGGCGATAATGGCAAAACTCCCATTGTCTTAACTGGAAGCAAGATGGAACTCCAAACATTCTGTGTTTTAGTTTTTCTATTCCAAAATAAGAGAAAAATCACCAAACACCACAAATAAGGTCTAGTTTTACCTCAGTTACATAACTCTTTGAAATAGTAGTACCCCTGTAACTGAAGGAAGAATTGACTCTTCTGAAAAGTAATGCCCTAATTTACTTCTTTAGGTGTATAAATAAGGCCTGGAAGATTATTACAAAAGTTTTTCTTCCTGCTGTTTTTTAATGTTCGTAATAAATGACTATGCAGCCTGGAAAACTCTCTAGTTGGAGAGCTAGTAAAACAATGACAGTTTAAAACTGTTGGTTAGTTTTTGCATTCAATGATCAACTGGCATTTTTTGAAAAAGGATGTGTTGATTAAAGATTAAACCCCTCCAATAAAAAGTGAGACTTAACAGTATACATTCCATGGGACATCTATTATGTTCTCCTGGAAAGACCAGACCTGACATTTCTAATGTTCCTGACCTTTTTTGTTTTTGTTTTTTTACACAACACTGAAGTAAAATAAGGGTGCAGGCCCAGTTTTAAAACACATATTTTGCACATCCCCTTGAATATCCAGTATTTACATTCACATTTCTCTCATATGAAACTTTGACCACAACTGGCAATTTGACAGCACAGCAGATCTACTTCCTCTTACAGCTATTTCCTAGTTTATAAAAAACAAAGCAGTAGGACCAGGACTGTACAAACATCAAAACCCAAAATAAGAACAATAGCATTTCCACACATCTTTGAAGACTGTATATCATTACAAAGATATCTGTACTAAAAAGCCCCCCAAACTCAGCCAATCCCATAACTTCAATCTAAACAGAGGGCTGAAACAGGAACTATTGTATTACATTTTTGCTAGCAACAATTCTGTCCCAAGCTGATATGGGGCAAAAGAGCCACGGATCACACGTAAGCCACATTAACCACAACATCCTGATAAAAATAATAATAGAGGAATCCAAATCCTATTTCCCCTTTTACAATTAAAAACAGTTTTAAAACATTAAATACTGGGGCCAAATATATTTGTGATGTAACCCAGCTGAAGTCAGTAGATTTGGTGGAGGGCTGAATTTGGTCCTACAAGTGTTGTGATTGTCACATTTTATATCTTTTTACTGAAACTATCAGCTCTAATTTCAGCTTCAGCTTGATCCTTTACATCTGCTTAGTGAAGCATGTGAGGTTCTAACACAGCTGAGGCTGAAGCTAGTCTGAAGAGAGAAACTAGGCGTACATGTATATTTTACAGTTCTTTTACTCTACCACTCATAGCTTTATACTTAGTTGTGAGTAGAATAAAAGCATCTGCCCACCCCCTCCAAAATCAAAAGCAGTCTTGCTCTTTGTTGCTGCTTCAGCCTCTGTTGAATTGATCTCAAAGCCAGCCCTTCCTTGTGAAAACTCCAAGGGCAGTTTGCATGGGATGGTCTCAACTCCAAGCACTCTGCAAATAGTTTTTCTTTAAATAGATACTTTTCAACAAGTATGAGCCACTTTTTTTTTAAAATAAAAAACAAAATGTTTTATTTTATAATGTATTCTTACACTATTTGGATTTGCAGTATTGGGAGACAGCATCACTGCTTAGGCTCATGGGAAGCAGAGAATAGCTGGAGTGCAGTAGCACTTCAGTTGCATCCTCTCCCTTACCCAGCCTGTCCCCACCATAGCCTTTACACCAGGATCCGTGAGAATGAGGTAGTGTAGAGAAATTGCTCAAGCTAAAACTGTTTCCTTGGGGGGTGGGCAGGTTTGCCCCTATTGTGTGAGGAATTCAGGGACACCAGAAAATTGGCACCCCCTGAGTGGTTCATTACACAACAACTAGTCTATACAAACACATACTCTTATTATGGTTTCCCTCATCCTTCCATCCCACTTCCCGTTCCATTGTTTTTTTACACTTTCTTGCAGCATCGTGTGTTTAAACAGATTGTGGGCTTTTGGGGGCAGGGACCAAAGGGCAACACCCTGGTCCCACTGAAGTCACTGAGAATTTTGCCTTTGTCTTCAATGGAGCCAGTGTGTTTTCCAGCATGCTTATACAGATCCTCTCACAATGGGACCAAGAGCTGTGGAGGAATACCATGTTACAAATAAGGGTAGTGGAGATAGCATCCACGTTCTGACACCATCAGAGCCCTTGACTGACTGGGTTCTTTTGGATACTTTGTGATAAGATAAATTGTTTTGTGAATTGACTAAAATTCTTCTTTTACAGAAAAGAATATTTAAAATGATTTTCCTCCCCTGAAAATACTTTGCATCCTTCTGTCTCCTGACACTAGTAATGCTTTGGGAATGAAAAGCACCTGTTAATTACTTATGAAAGCAGGCTGTTTCTGGGTTAAATGGTAAAAGAAGAACTGCCTCTATTTTAAAAAAATTGTTATTCTAAATCATTTGTTCAGTGCCCATTTCCTTATAGAGGGCAACAAGGAAAGAGAAGTGGTGTCACATTGCATGCTAGCACTCGCCTCTGCCCGCCTCTTCGTCATGCAACCATCTCTGGAGCAGTGTTGGGAGATTCGAACTCTACATGATGCGAAGGGGCTAATAATATCAGGACTTAGTCATGCTATATTAAATTCCCCACCCCCATACGCCCATCCTGCATACCAGTTTGATACGTGCAGGACAAAGAACTGGCATTTAGGGTAGCCCTTAGAGGCATGGCTGCTGAAGGAGTTGTGTAGCTAATGGTTGCAGAGCATCAGAAGAACAGAGGAGAATGGGAAGCTGATCTGAGTCAAGCTTCTTGGTTCTGGTAGGTCCCAGGAAACTATGATCCATTTAGAATAGAATGTGCTTTTCCATAAAGGATGAAGAAGATATAAACTCTTCCTCTTGGAAGAATTATTCAAGGGCAACTCCATGAGATGAAAATTCTCGGCTGACAATAACTCCTTTGAAATCACTGGCGTTACATCAGCAGATATTTTGCCCCCAAAATTTCTACCCCCTGCACAGGACTAACCTATCTGGAGTTCTAAATATTCACTTTCATGCAAACCAGAGGATGAGAGAGGCAATATTTGAAAAAAAGTTGACTTTTTTCTCCCCTCTGTTTTCAGATCCAGAGTTCAGCCATGGCATCAGTGAAAAGACCAGCCTGCTTGAGGATATGCCAGTTTCTGAAACTGATCTCAATTTAGAGATTTCATTTGCAGAGCAGGCAGCCAATCTCAAAGATGGCTCAATCGGCGAAATGTGCAAAGGCAAAGAGGATGATACACAACTTCCTGTAGGTGCTTCTCATTTATTGCTGTAGTAATTTCCTAAACTTTTAGTTTAGCCTGCTTGACTATGTTTCTATGTTATGGGTTGAAACAGGAAGATTCAGAACGGTCTCATTGGATTGGGTCCCTTCAGTGTGTCTGTTATTGGAGAGCAGCATTCAGACCTTAATACCTATGGAAATCTTAATTTTATGCTTATTATACCTTTTCAACACTATAGCTTATCTTTACTGCCCTACCAAACTCATGGTCTATTTTGGTCATACGATTTTTTTAAATGGTAAATTTCATGATTTCATATATTTAAATCTGAAATTTCGTGGTGTTCTAGTTGGAGGGGTCTTGACTAGGGATGTTAGCAAATGTTTATTTTTGTAAATGTATAATTGCTGAATTTTTTTTTTAAGCCGACTTCCCACGTGCACCAGTTCCTGCCTGCCCCCTCCCCGCTCCCTATTGCTTGATTCAGAGGCAGCAGTACAGGTGGGAATGGACAGGCAGCTCCACAGGAGCCGGTATGTGTAGGGAGCCAGCTTGAAAGCTGGTTTCCCACATGTACCAGCCCCTGCTTCCACCCCCCCTTCACTGTTGCCTCTCAATCAGAGGCAGCAGTACGAGGGACAGGCAGCTCCACATGGATCAGCTCCTGCCTGCCCCCCTGTGCTGCTGCCTCTGATACAGAGCAGCAAAGGGGGTGCGTGTAGTTGTTAGAATTAACCAATGAGCCCAAGCTTATTGTTTAATCATGTAAACGACTATACGCTAACATCCCTAGTCTTGACCTAAAAGGAAGTTGTGTGGGGAATTACAAGGTTATTGTCTGAGGGTTGTGGTATTGCTACCCTTACTTCTGCGCAGCTGCTGACAGCAGCATTGCCTTCAGAGCTGGGCAGGTAGAGAGCAATGGCTGCTGGCCAGGAATCTAGCTCTGAAGGCAGAGCTACTGCTAGCAGCAGTGCAGAAGTAAGGCTGGCATGGTACAGTATTTCCACTCTTATTTCTGTGCTGCTGCCTGCAGAGCTGGGCCCTTTGTCAGAAGCTGCCACTCTCCAGCCACCCAGGTCTCGTAGCAACAGTACAGAAGTAAGAGCAAAACAGGCATAGTACTACCACCCTTATTTCTGCACTGCAGCTGACAGAGTGCTGCCTTTAGAGCTGAGCACCCAGCCAACATTACAATCACTGTTCTCTACTTGTCCAGCTCTGAAGGCAGCACAGTAGTAAGAGTGGCAATACTGTGACCCTCCTAAAATTACCTTGTGATCCCTCTGCACCTCTCTGTTGAATCAGGACCCTTCAGTGTGAGAAATTCTGGTCTCTCCAATGAAATCTATTAGTACATGGTAAAAGCACACACAAGGCCAGATTTCATGGGAGCACACCAGATTTCACAGTCCATGTCATGTTTTGCATGGCTACAGGATGAATCTCTCTAGTCTGGCATGCTGTAGTCTGGAAACACCCGTGGTCTGGAATAATTTTAGTTGGCCAGATGTCCACTTATCATGGGTGTGGCCAAGTTTCCTGAGGTCCCATAAAGTTTGTTTACAGCCACCAATCCTGGCTCTCAGTGTTCTCTGCTGTTATTTAACTCTAATTTACCCCTAAATGTTTTCTAAGAGCTCAGTAAGCAGAGAAAATGTTAGCAATGATGCTAAACAATATTGACCTTCTGTTATTTGGCAAGTTCTCTGGTTCAGCACCAGTCAGGTCCCGAGGGTGGCAGATTAGAGAGGTTCAACCTGTAATTAAATCCTTATCAGGCAGCTGGTTACATCCACCAATCATTATTTAAGGGCTGGCTCAGCAGACATGCAGTTTTCAACCCCTAAATCAGCTGTGACCCCAGAGAAGATAGAGGATTATGAAGGTCTCCAGGACCCTTTCCATCAGAGAAAATGACATGTCTAGTTTCTGAGTAATCCAGTTCTTGGTGTGTTGTACTTTCAGAATGATGCAACCTGTGTCTGCTAGAGTTAGACTTCCTGAATCACAGGAAGTAGAAGTAAAGTCAAATAAATCTTACGGAAAGGGATTATCCTTTTATTTTGTGTTTGTTTAGTGCCTAGCTAAGCAGGCCCTGTTCTATGAGTGGGGGCTGAGGTGGTATGGTAATACAAATAATAAATATGAAGTGAAAAACAGTGAGCCCCCTAGTATTAATAAAAGGGTGAGGTGATTTACACACACATATGAGGACCTATTCCTGCCCCAAAGAGTAATCATCTGTGACCAGAGTTGTCCTGAGGAGGGTGCAGGGCCTGGGGCAACACCCTTCCCTCCCTGCAGTTGCTGCAGACGCACACCACAGCAGCAGGATGGCCTTTATACGTGTTGCTTTTCTTTCTCTGTCAGGGTGTTGAGATTGTTTATTTGCCATGATGCAAATCCCATGTTCTAGAATTTCAGATTGCCAAAGGACAAAACGGGTACCACAAAGATCGGTGACCTGGCCCCACAGGACATGAAGAAAGTCTATTCTTTAGCACTTATTGAGCTAACTGCGCTGTACGACTTACTCGGGACAGAATTCAAGCAGCAAAAAGCCATAAAAGTCAAAATGAAAGGTGAGTTGTACAGTTATAAACTACCCTGAAACAAAGGCGTCCGTGTGGGGTTGTTTAAGAATGATTCCAAAAGAAGAGAGAGACATTTAGCTGGTAATATAGGCCCTGATTGAGCAAGGCACTTAGCATACACTTTAGCCAAACAGCTCCATATTTAAACAGCCGCAGAGACATAAACTGTTCCAGCTAAGGAGGATTTTAGGGCTAAAATCCTATAGCAGCTAACTTTAGCAATAGATCATTCTAGGCCAGGCACTGAGCAGATGTCTTAGGGAGCAAGGAAAGGAATCCCATCTAGACTGCATTTTTTTCTTTCAAAATAGGTTATTTCGAGAAAAAACCCTTCTTTCGAAATAACCCTTACTCCTTAAAAAATTAGGTTTAAAGGTTATTTCAAAAAAAGGTTTTTTTTCCTCAAAATAACTCCATCTAGACTGCGTTTTTTTTCTTTCTTTCAAAATAGGGTATTTTGAAAAAGCGCCCGGACGCCATTATGCAAATGAAGCACAGGAGACTCAAATCTGTGCTTCATTTGCAATTTCGCTTGGCTGCATTTGCATTCCTCTCTCGAAAGAGGAATGCAGTGTAGACATACCAATATATACCAGGGTTCTGCCAACAATGTTGAGGCAGTTCTTGTAGCAAGTCACTCTTGCATCAAGCTGGTGGAGACTATGGATGCTGCTTGACTACCTTTTCAAAAGCTAGGAATATGTGGAAACCTCTTTCAAGTTGCAAGTGGTTTCATTGTTTTGGTAGCTGTCTGCTTTTCTGACCTTCTGCTAAATGTTTTACAAGAGTTTCAAATGTATTATTAGTTAATCACAAACCTACTTTGGCCAAAACCCTATTGTCAAGGTTCAGTGGATGTGACAGTGAAATAGCTCCCTTTAAATAATTGAAAGCAATAGAGATTGTTGAGAGACATACAGCAGGGTACAATTGATTCCGCTGAATACACTCTTCACTTTACAGTAGCAGAAAATAACTTTTTAAATGCAAAAGCACACACCCAACCATCTTTGCGACCTTGATTCCCAAATGAATTTCCACCATGCAGAAGTGCCTGTACTACAATCATTAGAAAATGGTGTGTAGGCAAAATACATTTTTTCTCTTTTTTTTTAATTGCGTATTTGTTTAGACCTTCTTACCAAACCTATGTAGTTTTAATTTAACATGATCTCCATTGTGTTTCTGAGATGACTTCCAGCAGATAAAACAAGTACATTGACTACAATATTTTTCCAGCACCCAACCCAAAAAGATGAACTTGATTTAGGGGTTCTACAACAGTGTGGGAAAGAGGTAGCGGAGCGTCACCCTGCCTCCTGGGAAATAGACTGGCTCAACAGCTGCTACTCCAACCTCAGATGAAGATCCATCTGTGGGGATGTCTACTCTACCTGAGGGAGCAAGTCCCCCAGCCAGGGCCCATGGAGGCATGCTAAGAGGGCTTGCAGCAATGTGATAAAATAACTGTACACCTTGCTTTGATGTTGAGACTCAGAGTCTGTGCCCAGGCTCGAGCCCCAGCCCAAGTTGCAAAATGAAGTGAAGTCTACATAGCTATTTTTTAGCAAGCTAACACAAGTCTATAGACCTAGGCTACGGGAGTGGGGAGGGCACAGCTTGCTTCCAGAAGCAGTGTAGATTTGCCCTGTAGCTTCACTGCCTCTTTCCCCTCTCACCTGCAATGTAATTTGGCCAGTGAATCCATATGGTAGTGGGAGAATGCCAGGAGTCCATGCAGAGGTTTCACACCTCTATTTTCAGCAGAGCTGGCTTCTGCAGCATCTCCCTTTTCCCACATCTTGCAGCATGGTTTGGCCTAAGGCTGTTAAATACTGGTTCATTTACTAGTTGAATAGTTGATGGAATTTCGATCGACTACTCGACTAGTCGATAGGCACTTCCGTATTTCTCCTTTGAAATGTATAAGAGCCCCTACAAGGGAATGCGGAACTCCACATGAAGCCCGGTGCCAGCAGGAAGTCCCACTGACTCCGGGCTCCACAAGGGCTCTTGTGCATTTCAAAGCAGAAGCACCCTCATGGAGCCCAGAGTCAGTGGGACTTTCCACTGGCCCCGCGCTTCACGTGGGGTGCCCGCTTTCACATGTACAAGAGCCCTAGCAGGAACTCTTGTGCATTTGAAAGCGGAAGTGCCCTCATGGATCCTGGGGTCAGCCTGCTGCTTTCAAATGCTGCGTGGAGCTGGGGTCAGTTTGGGACTCCCCAACTGACCCCAGGCTCCACAAGCTTTGAAATACTGTGTGTGGAGCCCAGGATCAGCTGGGGAGTCTGTAGCTGATCCCAGGTTCCATGGAAATGCCACAGAGACTGGGGGCAGCTGGGGACTCCCCAGCTGATCCCAGGCTCTGCACTGCATTTCTGCAGAACTTGGGATCAGCTGCAGACTCCCCAGTTGATCCCAGGCTCCGCACTGCATTTCAGTGGAACCTGGGATCAGCTGGGGACTCCCCAGCTGACTCTGGGTTTCGCGGAAATGCCACATGGAGCGCAGGGTTAGCTAGGGAGTCCCCAGCTGACGCCGGGTTCCATGCAATGCTGCCACTTTGAAATGCCACAGCAGCATTTCCAAGGGGCAGTGCTGCACAGCTGATCCCAGGCTGTATGTGGCGCTGCCCCTTTGAAACGCTGTCATGGTATTTCAAAGCGGTAGCTCTGCACGGAGCCCTTACTGGGCTCCATTTGGTGCTGCCGCTTTGAAGTACTCCCTTCTCCTCCTCCCTCCTTTGCTGCCTCTTGTCTGATAGAGGCAGCAAAATGTGGGGGGAAGCGACTAGTCGACTTGACTATTCAATAAACATTTGCTTATCAGATAGTCGACTGGTCCTTAACATCTTTAGTTTGGCCAGTGACCCATGTGATAGTGGAACCACTATCCATTTCCATTAATGTTTGGGTGGCTAGAAAAGCTGGAGAGCACACAGCTCTGCTGCGAAAAGGTGGGAGGGGAGAATGGTGAAACCTCTGCACTGGCTGCCTGTAGCACCTCCTTCCTTACCACAACAGACTCCCATGAGTTCTGCTGGGATGAGGATTTTGTGCATGTGTGTACAATGGGATTGTGCTGGGGGTGGTAGCAGCATGTGAAGTACCACTCACCCCTCCCTTGGGCTCACAGCTGAGAAAGAGAAACAGCTGCTTTATTGAGCAGTGTTGGAGAAGCGCGGGAGGGGGGAGGTGCAGGGAGTCTGCCTGAGGCTCCCCGCTTCATCCAAGGGCCAGATCCAGTGGTTTGGCAGGCCGGTGTGACCCACAGAGGGTATTTTGCCCAGGTCTGTTCTATATTCACACCTAAACCTCACTTAAAAACCATCTTTAACAAACAGGAATATTCCACCAGAGAAGCCGATCACATCATAGAATGGGCCACCTGGAGAACCTGCTTCAATACAGAAAAAGAAGCCTTCACTGACCACACAGTCTCCTTGTTGTCACCTGCCATCCCACATGGGAATCCGTATAGGTTGTCATCAAACAATGACAACCCTATTTGATGGGACAACATCCTGAAAGAAATTGTCCTGAACCCTCTCTTCTGGCCTTCAAACAATTGCCAAACCTTGCCCTGCTCATTTTCTGCAAGCTTACCACAGACCAAGACACACCAACAGAAAGTGACACCACATCTTGCCAAAACAACAGTTAGAAAACCTGCAGAGAGATCTCCACTGCTTTGATGATTAATACCCCCCACTTCCCTCCCACACAATACACCTTTCAAGATGTTTTATATCAGGGGTGAAGAACCTCTGGGCTGGGAGATGCATGCAGCCCCTGGCTTGGCTGGATCTGGCCCCGGAGGCTCAGAGCTTCCGCCCCCGCAGCATTGGGGTGCCTGCACTGGCACTCCAAACCCCCTGCCCCCGCTGCCGCCCCACTGCACACAATGTACTAGCCTGCCCCTCACCCCCCATGCTCTGGTGTACAAGGGGAGTATGGGGAGTGTCTTTCTCCTCAGTTGGGGACCACAACAGTGAAGGTTGCTTTTTGTTTGGTTTTGTTGTTTTGCTTCTCACTTGTGTGCGGCCCCCAATTGATTTTTCTGTGGGTCACTGGCTCCTGACCCCCAAAAATTTCCCCACCCCTGTTTTATATGAACAAGGAGTCTAGTGGCACCTTAAAGATTAAGGCTACATCGACTCTGCAACGTTATTTCGAAATAACAGAGCATGTCTAAGCTTCAAGCCATTATTTCACAATAATAGTGAGCTGGAGGACGTCTTACTTCGACTCCTGGAACCCTCATTTCACAAGGAGTAAGGGAAGTTGAAGGAAGAGTGTACTTTCTTCAGCTTCCTGCTGTGTAGACAGTGCCAAAAGCCGAGTTAACCTATATCGACTTCAGCGATACAATTAACGTAGTTTAAGTTGTGTAGCTTAATTCAACTTTTGCCCTGCTATGTAGATGTGCCTGAACAGATTTATTCAGGCATAAGCTTTTGTGGGCAAAAACTCATTTTGTCAGATGCATCGTTGGATTTTTGCCCACAAAACCTTATGCCTGAATAAATCTGTTAGTCTTTAAGGTGCCACAGGCGACCTTGTTGTTTTTGCAGATACAGTCTAATATGGCTGCTCCTCTGATTTATTTTTCATATGAAAATTAAAGCCAACTCTTCTTCCATACTCTTTGTAAGTCCTGGATAAAAATGGCCATTATCTCATTTCATATAACTTTAAATTATTATATGGGCCTATATGTTTATGGTAAGTTTGTTTATCTAAAGCAGAGCAGAGCAGTCCTGCCATAAATTTATAGGCCCATATAGTAATGTAAAGTTAAATAAGAGGAGGTAATGGCCATTTTTTAACCAGGGCTTACCAAGAGTATGCAACAAGACTTGGCTTTAATTTTCATATAAATACATTCGTTTTTCAAGATGCATTATCATCCTATTTGCTCCATAGGATGCAAAGCAGCACAATGAATGCTCTTTTTTCAACACATAGAGGGAGAGGTCTGTTCAGAGTAAAGTAAATCTGATTTATAATAACCCCTATTTAATTTTAGCAGGTCAAATTCTTGGGATGCTTACTAAAATCTTTTGCAGCTAAACTTGTATTGAGTGATAAAGATCTGGGTCAACAGCACAACTGTTTTCCACAAATCAGAATCATGCAGATTGTTCATTTATGCATTTTGCTTCACAGTACTGGAGAGTTCGTGGATGGCAATTTGAAGGTAAAACAGAAGGCTCCTCTCTTATGGTTGAAGGAGGAGATGAATGAGAGTTTTCCTTTTAGCCACGTGCTTTGTTTAATCATGCTCTGAATGACTTGATTGATGAAGACATTCAGATATGCTGAAGAGAAGGTCAATGACTCTGAATATATTGAATAGTCTTATCTTTTGGAAAATGTGTTTTGTGCCTCTTATCTCATGTATTGGAGCAGATGTGGATAGTGTCTCTATTTTCTCTTCTTTGTATAGACTCTGGTCTTTTTGGTGTCCCACTGTCAGTTTTGCTGGAACAGGATCAGAAGAAAGTACCAGGCACCAGGATACCACTGATCTTTCACAAAGTGAGTAGGCATGAACAAGTCCATTTGTTACAAACCTACTTGATTCCAGAGGTGATAGCATTTGTCTTGGATTCATATGCTCACTATAATCAGTTTTCCACAGTGACATGCCATCTCTATACTGTGAACCTCAAACGTAGTACTCCACTCCATTAGAAGGAACTATAGCTTTTATTCAGGGCTGTGCTTTGTGTTATTAATGCACTAAGTTGGATATATGGCCTTTATACTGTTCTCTACTACGCTAACTTCAGTTGAATTAGTGGAATAGAGACTACAATTCAGTAACTTATTGTAAGTTGTTTATTTTATAAGTATTGTGAATTGCTATTGGCATGCTTGAGTGTAAGCATAGAATATTTAGGGACATCTAGTGAATTATTATTAGAAAAACACATTACTAAGGTGTAGTAACTCAGCCATGATTTGGTCAGGGTTTATTAGTAAGCCCATATAGCCAGCGTTTAACACCATTCCAGGCCAAATTCTGCTTAGGAGGAGTTGTAGATGGTTATAGGAGAATAGGCCAATATTTTTCAAGACAAATCTTGGAAGTTCTGGAGTGGCCTTTTAGAGGTTGTTGGGAGCTTTTTTGTTGTTTTTGCCATCAAATCAAAAGGACACCTATAGTAATATCCTCTTTCTCTCTAGGCCCGTGGTCACCAACCAGTAGATCGCGATCTACCGGTAGATCTCAGGGGCTCCAAGAGTAGCTCTTAAGCCCTCTCTGAACTGCGTACCTGCGCAGTACATTTACATTAGATTTCCTCATGTAATGTAGGCGGGGCTTCAAGGAAGGGGCGGGGCAGTAGATCTTTGACTGTTCTGAGACTTAAAAAGTGATCTTGGGTGTAAAAAGGTTGGAGACCACTGCTCTAGGCACTACTGCTGTATCATTCATGCCAGAAATTACATTCTAGGGACTAAAACAAAAAAACCCACACAAAATAATTTTTGTATAAATAGGGAAATATATAAATGTTTTTCTCATTTCTCTCTTCTCATCTCTGCAGCATATCCATCACTGGACTTGCGTGTTCATCAAAAATTAAGAGAAAACATTTTCAGGGATTTTAAAACATTGATTGAATGCCACTGAAACAAATCAATTTAACAAGATGACTTTTTAAAATAAGCATCAATTTTGTAAAACAAAACAACCCTTTCCACCCAAAAAGGCCCCACCAACTCTGTCATTTTCCTTCCAGTTTTGTCAATTTTATGAACACTGGGTAATATCATAACATTGATTTTTAAGCAGAACTTGCTATAAATTTGATTTCAATAGGGAGTCCTAATTAAAAACTAATGTCATGATATGGCCTACAGGGCTCCAGTAAAAATTGGAAAAGCTAATTCCTGTATCAGAACTCTTCAATGGTGATTAAAATTTTTAAGAATCATGGAGACCAGCTCAGATCTCCCTAAGGCGGGTTCTACTTGACTTGCAGTCAGTAAGTCAAGACTGTATATCTTTTTAGAAGATATGCTGTAGATCAGCTAGAAGCTATGAACTTAATCAGAAGTTACTGAGCGAGATTCTATGGCCTATGTTCTGCAGGGAGTCATACCAAATAACCATAATAGTCCTTTCTGACCTTAAAAGCTATGCATCCATATATGGAATAGCAAATAATCCCCTTTTTTTGGTGCAATTAAAAATTCTGCTCTACAGCATAGTTTATAGTTCAGAAAATAGTTGGCACAGAAGCATGTACATTACAAGTGTTGTCCAGGTTAAACACTGCATAAAGTATTAATTTAGGCAATAATAGGTGTTGTAATCATTTGATATTTATGGATTTCTTCGGGTAAAGATTTATCCCTTGGTGCACACAATTCCCTATATTCTTTATCTAATCCATTACATTGTCACTTTATCAGGGCGATTGTACCTGTACCGCCCCCCTCCATCATCAGGGCGATTGTACCTGTACCGCCCCCCTCCATCATCTCCAAAGTCACTCACTTAAAGGCTTCTGCCTCCTCCTAGCTGTCAACTCCCCTGAATGGAATCTTGCATCTCACTCCCCCTGACCTCACATTTAAGGCTGCACAGCCCCCCTGATCTAAATTGTGTTACCCCAGCAAGCCAGACTGCCTAACAGGCCAGCACTGCCTCTTTGCTTTTTGTTCAAGGGCTATGTAATTTAGTTACAATTTACTGCAAGTTTTTCATTCCCTATCTCAGTATAAAGTGTTGACATTGCATTTTCCCTTTTAAAAACAGTCTTAATAAAGTAGATGAAAAATAAAGGAGCAGTATCAGGTGTTCTTTGTCGGACATATATAACCGTATTAATGATAATCCGCTTTGCCAATCATTGGTGTTCAAAACCAGATTTCACTGTTCCATATTTACCTCTCAGTTGCATTTTAATTAGCACCTTGGCTTCATGCTGCTTGATTCTGTTTATTGACAGCTGATTTCTGAAATAGAAGAGGCAAAATTGGATACAGAAGGACTTCTTCGAATACCAGGAGTAGCAGCAAGAGTAAAGGTAAAATATTACATGGACTCTCAAAATCCTGAAAGCCTATACTCATTTGCTGTTTTTACTCTTTGCTTGTTAACACTTGTGTAATGGCAAGATTGGCATCGAAGTGTTAATAAAACTACATAAAAACAGATTTGATTTAGATTAGCCAAAGAGATGATGTTTTGTTCCAGATTAAGTTTGGGGAGGAAATCACAGGTTCAAATGAAAGCTGAATCAAGGTTTAGGTTCAGATTCTGCTGTGCCAAAATCTCATGAGTTGTTCTCACAAGATTTCCAAATTCTTTGTCTGCACCTGGATCAGAGGAACCATCTGAACCAGATGACCAGTGGGCTCCTATGTAGGCTGTATGCCACTATAGGGTAATATTCCTCGGCCTAATTAGATAATGTGAAGGGCCAGTTTCAACCAGAAGCATAAAGCAACCAAATGGCACAGAGAATCTTTCCCATTATCTCTACAAACAGCATTACAAACTACTTGGGTCACTATCCACAGTCTTTGTTCACATTACAGCATGACTGCCAACTACACCAAACTGTAAGTCAGTATTTGCTTTCATGAAGAAAAACAAATGCATGGTTTGATTTACACCAAGATGAAGCTTGTTATAAGAACAGTCTAAAGAGATTTTGAAATTGTAAATAGAAAGAACATTTAAATGGATTCAGCTGCCTTAAGACATCTGCCAGAGACTGTCATGTAAAACTTTGTCCAACAGCTGCTTCATTAGAAACAACAAAAGGAAAAGAATATTATGGAAACTGGCTTTATTGATTCACCAGTAACTAAGATGTTTCATGACTTCGTTTAGTACTTTAGTTTCCATTTTCCACCCAGTTTCACATTTTTGGGGTGACTTTGGAATTTTGTTTTGTTTAATGGGAGGAGATTTTCCAGAGAAGAGATCATTCATCAAGTAACAGCAAAAATGATGAGAATCAAAAATCTCAAACATTTGGAAGAACTTCTCCTTTGAATGAACCTATTTTTTCTGTAAAACATTGAGGCTCCGTCTACACTGCACTGTTTTGCACAAGAAATATGCAAATGAGGTGAAGTGTGGAATATTGCTGTGCCTCATTTGCATAATTAATGAGCGGCCGCTTTTTGCGCAAGAGACTTTTGCACAAGAGGCGCTCTTCCTGAAAAAAAAGCAGGACGGCTCTTGTGCAAAAGGGATTTTTTTCCACAAAAAGGAGCTGTGTAGACGGCTGCGCAAAAGCCTTTTGCGCAAATACAGAGCCTAATTAATTATGCAAATGAGGTGCCACAATATTCCATGCTTCGCCTCCTTTGCATATTTTTTTGCACAAGAGGGGGCAGTGTAGACATAGACTGAGCATTTTCAATGTTTTACCCATCGAGTTGAGAATTTATCATCACATTTTGGTGGGTTGGGTCCTGGGTTCTTTTCCCTTGGTGCCTAGGTGCCTCCAGGTCTCCTGAGACATCCAGTAATCTATTAAATTGAATGAAATCTGAAGTAGGAATCCTAACCAGTTAACAGCCAGTCCTTGGCTTCCCATGTGTCCAGCTCCTCCTCTGAGTGCGCAGGGGAGGCTTCTGGCTCCGTCAGTCACTGGGGCCTCACTGGCCTGTCTGGCAGGCCTTTTATATCCCTGCCCCAGCCTCCTGGTTTCTGGTCAGGTGGGTTTTAGTCAGGTGCTGCCCACCAAAGCTCAGGGAGGGGTGCCTCCCCCTCAGCGTGAGTGGGAGGCCATTCCACCCCACTACACTGCATAAGGCAATGTTGAAGCAGTCAGTGTTGTTTGATGCTGCTTACTCTTCACTGTGTAATACCCAATCCCCAGCTCAAAGAAAGAGCAGGTTTAAGGTCCAACACTAGTGAACACTACCATGGAAGCCATTCAGTAGGGATTTGAACATCTGTGCACATATCCAGGGCTGATTTGAGATTTTTCACAGATACCAATCCATCCGCAGGTTTGGATATTTCCCTCTTCAGTAAGGGCAGGTGTACAATAGACCTGGAAGGCCAGGTTAAGGTACACAACTTCAGCTATGTAACATTTGTAGCTGGAGTTGGCCTACCTTAACCCAAGCTTGGTACCTTCTTCACAGAGGGAGGCCGACGGGAGCATTTGCTCCCGTTGGCTTTCCTTACTCCTCGCAACTGGGAGTAGTACAGGTGCTGGCGAGAGCTGCCCTCAGTGTTCGATTTATGAGTCTTAACTAGACCCGCTAAATCAAATGATGATCTCCAGCACAGGGAATGAAGACGTGCCTTAAGAGGAAAAGGGGGCCAACTTTGCCTCAGTGGAAAGTATTGATAGGAGACTCTGAGTCTCAACTTACATAATTATCTGGCTCTTATCAGGCTCTTTCTTGCACAAAGTACCATGTGACCTTAAGGAAGTGGTGCAGGATTTGGCCTTATAGGTGTGCCAATGCCTTGGCAACAGATATACTGTCTGGTGTCCATTAGAATTTGGTTTTAATTGCACAATTCTAATATTTCTTGTCTAGAGTTTACCTTTTTGTAGCAAATTAGTAACAGCAGGTGGTACTTGAATGATAATTTCAGATGCTTTTTTTTTTCAAAGGGTGGAAAATATTGCTATAAGGGAAATGCACAAATCCTCCACCAGCATCAGTAAAACTGCATTGCTGGTACTTTCTATTCTGCTGTCTTTCAGGGTCTTTGCCAAGAGCTGGAAGCAAAGTTTTATGAAGGGACTTTCAACTGGGAAAGTGTAAAGCAACATGATGCAGCAAGTCTTTTAAAACTCTTCATCCGAGAACTTCCTCAGCCACTGCTCACTGTGGAATATCTTAAAGCTTTCCAGGATGTGCAGAGTAAGCAGTGCCTCTTCTGTCTCAGCTATACAAAGGTGACACTACAAACAGCAGCATACTAAATACAGAGAAGAAAATTGTCTCAACAAATATGCCTTTGCTGTAAAACCATTTTCACTAACAGTATGTGAGCCTGAACAATACATTATATAGCAGTAGGATTAATTCTGTCCAGGAAAGGTTGGCTGTTGCTTGGCTAGTGTTCAAATGAGACTTTTTTTTCCCCACAGAGCAGCATGCATTAGCACACCTGGGAAAGAAAATACACAGATTTATATAACAGTATTTGGGAAACATTAGGGCTATGTCTACACTTGCGGCTTCTTGCATGAGTAATATGCAGATGAGGCTAAGCGTGGAATACTGCCCCTTCTTGCACAAGAAAAACCCTCTTGCGTAATGCCGTTACATCTATTACTTTTCAGAAGGAGTGTAGACGCTCCTTCTTGCGTAAGAGCCTCTTGTGAAAAAAATGGTTGCTCATTAGGTATGCAAATGAGGCTCGGCGATATTCCATGCTTAGCCTCATTTGCATATTACTCGCGCAAGAAGCCACGAGTGTAGACATAGTCTAGGTGAACTATAAGGCTAAGGTGATTTCTGAATTGTCTTCACTCACGGCTAGCTTGAGCTAGAACTTGAGTGTTGTCCCTACACTGACTCCTGTCCACACTTAACTCGAGCTAGAAAATGTTAAGTGGGGCATTACACTAGAGCAGGGGCAAGGAAACATTTTTGGGCTGGGACCCACTGACCTTCAGCAAAATCAATCGGGCGGGGGTAGCAGGAGCCAGAGTGCTGGTAAGGGAGTAACTCAAGCTCTCTGTTTCAGTGAAACAAGCCCTAAAAAACTACAGTTAAGATATCAGCAATTTATAAATTATCATTCTCTTTAAATAAGTAGCAGTGAGGAAGTTACAGTTCAGCTGGAAATCAAACAGAAATGAAATATGCTGCTTCTGATAATATTTTGAGACTATTTGGTATCTGTCAGAAAAAATGTCAGAGCTGTTGATTAGCATCAGTTCCCCAATAGTCAGCCAGTTACTATGAGAATCTACTCCACCATCAACTATTGCCTAATAAAGCACCAAGCTGAGCCAGAACACCCACTTGTTCCTTTAAAAAGAGGGTGTGCAGAATACTGAATTTGTGATTCTTTGAGAAGTCTAGCAGGAGTGGGGAGTATCTCTTTTTATTAAGTCCCATAGCCAACACAAGTAGGATGCTGACAGATTTCAGAGAGATCCATTTCCTGTTGTCTGTGACCAAGAGAACCAGTCACTTTTGGAAGAAGGTAATAGGAGAATCCCAGATGGCCAAGAGAGCAATAGGGTCACACATACATGGAATCTCTTCACATGTCACAGGAAAGGGGCCCAGATTGCAGAGCACGTGATACAAGTCAGGAGCGGATGGGGTCAAGGTTTAAGACACCTTTGTGCAGCCTTATTCTGCAGCCAGTGAGATATGGGTGAGATTCTGCAGCCAGTGAGATATGCAGTTCCTAGCAGCAATTTAATTTTTTTGGTCAGCCAGTAGCCCTCTGGGGCTGTTCCACAACGATGGATTGCTGGGAACTAAGGCGGCTCTGTCCATGTCTTCATTCCATCAGTAGTCAGCTGAGCTCTGGGCAGCCACTATGGTGGTTCTACCACATCCAAAGATTCCTCTGCATATGAAGAGTCCTCACATGATTAGATCCATACCATTTAAGACTGTCACATGCTCAAAAGGACAGTGCAAATTTGGCCAGAGAGTCATAGCTATTTATTTTAAACGTGCCTGTCTCTTCTCTATTGTCCATGTACAATAAAATAAGTACAATTTTTACAGAATAGGAACATCTTCATGACCGTTATTAACATCATCCACAGTATTGTTGTTAACCTTATCACTGCTGCAACTGCTATCACTCATTAATATTAGGTAGATACTTTATGAACAGAATAGTCTGCTTGGGTTGCTTGCAACAGGACTCAGTGACCCAGCAGGTACTGTCCTCCATTTTATGTTCGTAATCTGTACAGTGTTAGTGCGCACCTGTTACATTCAGCAGCACATTATGTACATTCTGGTAGGATAGATCTAAGAGATTATGCAACAATTCACATTATAATTTCAGTCAATGACATACTCATTCATATGCCTGGACACAAGCCCAGATAGGGATGAATCATTCTGCTTTCTCTTGCATGTTGTGGCATTGCAAAATAAAGTATGAGAAAAAGCTATTGTCAAAACAGCGGTGAATCATATTGCAACCGAGTCATAAAACAACATTTGGAAATTAACATCAGAGGAGAAATATCTGTCAATCTTTTGTCATACTGTGAAAACTTGCCTTGCTTATTAAATGTATCTGTTGTGAACATGACATTTTACAAGAATATTTAACCTTTTATGCTTGTTTTGGAGGGAAAATATAAAACTATTAAAGAAATGAGATTTATATGCTTCCCTGGCAGATCTTCCCACCAAGAAGCATCAACTGCAAGCACTGAATCTTTTGGTATTACTCCTACCTGAAACAAACAGAGACACTTTGAAGGTTAGATTGGCTATTCACTTTTTTAAACAAAGTATGAATTAGGAAAGTGAACTTATTTTAAAATGTATCTATTGTGAAAAGTTCAAGTACCTTTTAACATTTTAACTAGCCAGTTGTTACTTTTTTCATATTTGAGACCACTTAAGCGAGAGAGTAAAATTTTCAAAAATGTGTAAGTAACTCAGGACTCTGATCTCATTTTTACAAGTGACTTGAGCACTTCAAAATCTAAAGTTATGTGTGCGCTGCAGTGCCAGATATGACTGCAGTTTGGATGAACATACCTGTGCTAGATTTAACCCAAGCTTTCAGGGCTAAGAAAAGCAGTGTAAATGCAATGGTGCAGTCTTCAGCAATGCAAATAGGTACCCAGGGTCCTTGGTTGGCTTGCAAACTTTACATTGAAGTCACGCTGCTGCATCTAAACAGATATTTTTCAACACACCAATACAGGTATGTTTACCTGAGTTCTAATCACAGCTCAGATTGTAGTGTAGACATATATTCAGTCTCACTGAAATTCTATGGAACTTAGAATCCTAAAGTGACCAAGATGCTTCTGAAAATGAGACTTGAGCTCCTAAATCATTGGGTAGTACAGTCTAAATACCTTTCAAATCTGATTCTTAAATACTACTGACATTTTACCAGAGATCATCATCATTTGTAATGACGCACCTCTCCTTCAACTTCCTAATCAAAATCCTAATTCAGGACCATTTCTGCAGCCTTTATTGCCTTTATGGAGGCAAAAAGGCAAGATAGTCACTTGAATGTGATGGGTGCAGTTGTTTGACTATATCCCCATTTTTATCTGTACTGTTTATTTTCTCTCTTTGTGAGTTAGGATTTCCCTGTCTCCATTGCTCTAAACCTTCCAAATCACTTTGCCCTTTGGTTCTGTTCTCATCACCCTAAGCTTGGATTCTGGTGTTTGATCACTGTTGAAATTGGGCCAAAGACAAATTTAGAAGAGCTGTATATGGTGCAAAGTTGTAGGGACAGTATTTTTTTTTTCAGTCTACTTTGACAAAAGCACCACTGGAATGCTCAGCGGCTACGCTAGAAATAGCTGAAGTGTCATTGCTTAGAGACTGACAAGTGCTTTGTCACCTTGACAGAAGCAGTTCCAGAGACTACCTGTGGCTCACAATGCACTTCTCTGCTGATCAGTAGTCTGCATGACCGGAGTAAATAAAAGAGTTTCAGCACAGCTTCGGGTCCCAGAGTCCAGGCTGTAGGCTGAGTTCTAATGTCTACACTGCAGTTAAACAGCCTCTTATCCTGGGCCCTGTGAACCTGAGTCAGCTGGTACACCCAGCCGTGGGTGTCTATTGCAGTGTAGGGAGACCATTAGATGCCTTTGAAAATGTTACCCCAAAACTACAGTAGAATGAAGAATGATTTACTTCTTCACATTCTCAGCTCTAAGTGAGGATTTGAACTAATCAGTAAAGTAGTGTAAGTAAGTTCATATTGTAGCCTTGTGAATAAACACATCTGCACTTTCCATCATTCTTTGCTTTTTTTTATAACCTTTTGTTAACGGGGATATAAAAAAGCTTTTTCAAAGGCTACATAACAAGATGTGTCACTGTACATGATTTTTTGATGTGCAAAGCTTGTCGTCAAGTACTACTCTCATTTCAGATTCTGCTTGAGTTCCTCCAACGGGTAATTGATCATCGAGATAAAAATAAAATGACACTAAATAATGTTGCAATGGTGATGGCCCCAAACCTCTTCACATTTCATGGGTTTGGCTCAAAGACTATTGAACAAAGCGAGTTTGCTATGGCTGCTGGAACAGCAAACGTCATGCGCTTCATGATTAAATACCAAAAACTTCTTTGGACAGTAAGTTTCTTTAATTTATTATGCTTTTCTCCTAAGTTTTACAAAGTCTCAGTCAAAGCATCATTGCTTTCAAAGATCAAGGAGCACCTGAACCTTTACCACTGACCTAGGAGTGAGATTGACATATTGGAATAGGGGAGAAGAGGGAAGCAAAGGGCACAGCTGGTCCCTAACTAATGGGTAATTCTCAGTGGAATTACATCAATGATAAAATCATTATAGATGAGAGCAAAATTAGACTTTCAGTCTATTAATGTAATACACAGACTATATACCATGGCTGCATCTAGACTGGCAAGTTTTTCCGCAAAAGCAGAAACTTGCCAGTTGTCTACACTGGCCGCTTGAATTTGCGCAAGAACACTGACGATCTAATGTAAGATTGACAGTGTTCTTGCGCAAACACTATGCTGCTCCCATTCGGGAAAAAGCCCTCTTGCGCAAATTTATTTGCGCAAGAAAGCCAGTGTGGACAGAGAAGAACTGTTTTGCGCAAAAAATCCCCAATCGCGAAAATGGCGATTGGGGTTTCTTGCGCACAACCGCGTCTAGATTGGAACAGATGCTTTTCCGCAAAAAGTGCTTTTGCACAAAAGCGTCCATGCCAATCTAGACGCTCTTTTCTGCAAATGCTTTTAACAGAAAAACTTTTCCATTAAAAGCATTTGCGGAAAATCATGCCAGTCTAGACGTAGCCATGTAGAATACCTGACCTCAAAGCCAAGTCATCTGGGATACCTGTGGGTAGTTTATAACTACAATCCATTTTAATGAGTAATTTGCCCTTTTCAGCCTCTAGTTATTTGTCTCCTGTTCTGCAATTTATTTCTATATAGGGTCACTCATTGTACTTTGAGAAAAATTAGTTATATCATGACAGCCTCTCTGAAAGACCTACAAGGAAGATGTTAGTCAGCCCTGTGAAACTTGGAGCTTTGTTTTCCACCAGCTATTGTTAGCAATCTCCAGTCTCCTCCAACAGACTAACACAAAATTATGATGGAGGCAAACTCTGTAGTACAAATTCCTTGTTTATTATTTTTTGATTCGTGGAAGTAGAAGCATTAGGTGAGAGCCCAGTTCTGACACTCATTCACGTTGAGACCTTGTTCCTTAATATTCCTATTAATTTTAACACTTGCAGATCTCAAATGCGGGGTCCAGGCCTAAGACTGAGACTTGTGAGTGTTTAACTGCTACTGGCAATAAATATTAACTTTTGCACGTTGCCTCTGACAGTGTGTCACTAAGAAAGTTTTAGTAGGCGTGTAGTTTTCAAGGAAGTTAAATGTGCGTTAATAATTAAGATGTGTATTCTTTCAGATTCCTAAATTTATAGTCAACCAAGTGAGAAAGCAAAACACTGCATGTCAGAAAAAGGAGAAAAAAGACAAAGCTATGAAGAAACTGCTGAAAAAGATGGCTTATGACAAGGAGAAATATGAAAAGCAAGACAAGAGCCCCAATGATGTAAGAAAATAGGCTCTTGTCAAATCATAGATAGTGAGCCAAATTCTCCGTTTGTTTACAGTGAATTGATTTGATTTACCTAGGTGTATCTGAGAGGAGACTTTTAATTCTTGGGTGTCAAACTAGACTCACCTTCAAGAGATCTCATTTTTCATCCTGTGAAAAACCTTAAGGGTTTTTTTTTCAGTTTGGTGTCCAGAAGGACACAAAATCATGAGACACTTTTGAAAATCTCATCCTGAAGTATTGTCTTATTTTATTGTGTTTATATATTCTAATAGCATTTAATATGTACTCATAAAGTATCTTTTAGCAAATAGTACATAGGAGGCAGTTAAACTTCCCAAAGTATGTATTATGATTGTTGCTGAACATGCATCTAATTGTTTGCATTTCCAGATAGAAATGTAGAATTTTTCTGACACTCTTTGAATTTTCTAGATACATTGTAATGATTACAGCCCAATGTAAATTAATAGTGATGATAGTGAAACATAGAAGAGTGCAGTGGAAGGCCACAACTAAAAGCATGAAGGTTTATGTCAGTGTTTCTTAAACTTTTTAAGACCGAGGAACACCAAACTATTTTTATGAGAAAGAGGAACACCAAGGATTTTTGTGAGGAGGGCGGGAGTTGTTGGGGAAAGGAAAGGGTTGGGAAAGTTATTGAGCCAAAAAAAAGCATCGCCTGCCCCTATAAGAGTGGCCATTTTTAATTCTGTTGTTCTCCACGGCACACCTCCGACTGCCTTGTGGCACACCGATGTGCCGGGGAGCACAGTTTAAGAAATACTGGTCTATGTACATAATGCACCACATTCTTCTTTATAATTCCATTATATAAAGCTACACTTAACAACTATATGTAGAGCATATCATTTCGTTCTGTATACTTTCAGGTCAGATGGTAACCATGTTGGAATGGGATCACAACTGACTTTGAACCAATAACAAGGACAGTGAAAAATCTGGCAGGCACTATAATACGATGCGTGGCGGGGGAAATGAAAGGGATTTTTAAAGTCTAGTAGACTGAGAGGATTATTGTCTTTTTAAACAGTGAAGAGAACAAATTGTCAAGAATGTATTAAGTAACTGAATATATAGTAAAACCTGTACAAGATACAACCCTTTATGAAAACACTATCTTAATATTTCATCTCATTGCATTCTCAGATACGCAGAGTACAATTTAGAGTATCATCTTTATTAAGAAAGCAGTTTTTGTCAGTCCCAGAAGTGATTATTAAGCATAGATTTCAGTGCAACAGCCCCTCGCATAGCAAACATCCTGATTTTAAATTGCATGTGGATTTTGGAGAATTTTTGTTCTGTTGGTTTGTAATCTTGGAATCGGCTAATTGGACTGTCTCTCTTAATATGGTGTTTTAACCCCAAACACACCTGTTGCATCATTATTTTCAATTACTTAAATATAATTAACTTTTTAGTTTATTTACCACTAAAATCCACTGTATCTGAAAAAAGATAATTGTGAAGGTAATTGGTATTTTAAACACACAACCAAGTAACATCAAGTATATGTTTCCCTTGTACCATAATGAATAAAAATTGGGCTTGGATGAGTGTGAACAGATCATCTTCTTCAGCAGAGGTCATATTCCAGATTTTGGTGAGCCAGAGACATCTTGTGGAAGGCTGTAAAACTACACTGGCCTGAATTGTCTGATTTTCTTTGTCATTTGTAGCTCAGGGCAAGCTTTGATATATAAGGACTACACTTTTATAATGTAAGCATGTTTGTCAAGGCCATTAGGCTAAAAATTAGAGCTGTCAGCGGTTTGATTTATGCCGTGTGTATGTTGCAATATCCCTCTCATCTTCCTGTCTGTTTTGTCACTGTGGGTAGAAGGAATTTTGAAATGTGTTAATTTCTTTCTCAGTACACTGTAGCATAGGGTTCATGTTTATATCAGTTTCCTACTTTCTCACAGGAATAGAATTGTCATGAACAATGGAGAGAGCCTGAAATGAATGTACACTTAAAATCCATGATCTTGAACAAAAATAACAACAAAAGCTCTTAAGAGTGTTTGATGCAAGATGATGTAACAGTGAAGTATATACTTTTTTCAAGAAAGCAACCCTTAATTTGTGTAATGGATAGGGTTTTTTTAAGGTCAGGAAAAGCTGAAGTGTGCACGTGACATTTAAAGGTAGGCTAAATAACTTGCCAGTTAAACTTAGATGTCTACTTCTTCACAGATACTTTTCTAAAATTGATGGTGTATGTGCAAGACAGCCATAATTTAGGGATTAGAGATATATCAGTAACTACTGATATTTGTTTATTAAAGTCCTCCCCATAGAGTCACTCCAAATATACCTATGAGAAGAATGATCATTGTGTGACATTCTTTGCAAAAGTCCTACCTCTATTGATGGTTGGTTTGGGATCAATGTTGCTCCCCTAACAAGGCAGCATTTCATAGTTCTGTATAAACTGACTAAGAAGTGCCATTTAAGGGGCATGAAGTTTGACTGCATTTCTGCCAAAAGGCAAAAACTTAGTCCTTGTTCCTATAAAGAAGGGAGGGAGAGGGGGTCAGTGCAGGCCTTTGTATACAATGGACTCTATACAGGTAAAGGAATCTACCCTTTGCATCTAAATTGCAAGATGAGGGCTAGAGTTTTCAACATTTTTTATCCATATTCAGAGGTATAATGCAGGATTTGAAACATCTCTGACTAGGACACAATTTCAAAACAGACTGATTCCTAAGATACTACTCAATCTTTCTTTCAAATGCACATGCAAAGAATGAATTTTCCATCTACCTACCTTTTAAAAATGGAAATAGCCAAAAATTAACATGTAATTCCTTTACACTGACCACTTAAAGTGGGAAGATTAATGGCATATAGATTCTTTGAAAACAGTTCAGTACAATTAGGATGTTGGCACCTAAAAGAATACTGCCATCATCTGCTACATTACAGAAACAGCAGCTGAATGCAGTGAAGGAGTTAAATCATTCAGTATTTTTAGATCTTTTTTTATTTTTAACTGATGTAATTTGGTGGTGTGGAGCATTTGTCATCAAAAACATCCATCTTTCCCTCCCCCTTTCACAAGCCATTTAAGAATTAAGACTGAGGTATCATGTAACCGATCTTAACCCAGCTGTAAATCTCCTTGTATTATTTCAAGCACCAATCTTACTGAAAAATGTAATGGTAGTTTATTTCACAAATCATTGTTACTTGTATAAATTACTTGCATAATATTTGATGCAGGGAAGCGTAGTAGTCATATTTGGATATCGTGTATTATTCAGACTTGAGATTGTAATGTATAGTTCCTGATGACATAAAACATTTTCTTACAGTGCTGAAATAGTAATTGACATGTCTGGACTTGTTCTTTGAATACTGAAATAACTTTAGAATTCTTCACAGCACATCTCTAAGTGTCCATCTGTTTCCTTGTTTGTGGAATCAGACTCCTAAATAAATGGGACTAATGTCTATATAATTTACATAGCATGGAATCCCCAGTGCTCAATGAGTGGGTTATGAGTTATAAATTAAAGTCACAGTTTTTAAATTATCTTAATATGTCAGGATAGTTTTAAATGACAGTAGAGTCTCTTTTTCACCCTCTATCCTGTGTGTGCTGGACTATCCACACCTTTCTGCAGAGCACATGCCCTGTGCTCCATTTAAGTTCTGCTCTCAGAATAGCAGCTAAGCAGGACTTAAGTATTAGACATGCTTTGGGAGGACCCTCTGCAGAGGGGTGAATCCTACCTTTAATGACTGCTTTTTAGAAAATCATGAAGGTTATCTACTTTCCAAAATATTTATATTTACAGCTCTGTAGGCTAGATCCATGGCTCTTATTAAATCTCATTACAGTTATGGTGCAAGGACCAAGCTGGGTTTGAAATCTACTTTAGGCAGCTCAGGTAACAGAAGGTTCTCTCAAGGCAGGAAAACCCTTGAGGGGCATAGCCAGTTTTATGTCACCCATTATTCCATCCCTCTTGGCATAGGAGTCATAGGCAGGACAGAGCAATCTAAGGTTGCATAATAGTTCAAGGTAACTGATCTGTATGCAGTGGTGTTATAGCTCTGTGGATCCTAGGATAATAAAGAGATAAGGCAAGCGAGGCAATATCTTTTGTTGGATCAACTTCTTCTCACTGACAGATGAGAAGGGAACCTGTAGCAACCAGTTTATCCCATAGTGAGCCTCAGAGATGAGGAAAGCAGAAAGGTACTGAAAAGCCCCGTACCGGTAGAGTATTCTGAATGTAGGTATGGTTGAGCATGAACGCCTCCAAGAAATGTAGGAATTGAAAATGATAGGTTCATTTTCCTTAGCTATGAAACAAGTTTTCTACAACTTTGATGTCACAATATGGTGTAAATTTGTAATGCATTTGTTCCCTGGGTGAGTGCCTCCACTCATACAATCATACCAAGCAGTTTTCTCACACATCTGTCATATGCCTGATGAACAAAAAATTAATGACTATGTAAGCTCACTGAATACTAAAATGAAGCCTGATTTAAATTTACTGTGCAGAACACAATGAAAGACCTATTCAGGATATGCATAAATAGCCTTTCCACCCTTACACGATTGTTCCCTTGCTGACAGTATGTTCATAACAGTTTTAAAGACAGGCAGGAGCTATTTAGGCATGAGCTAATTAATTTTTGTATGCCTTTTGACAAATGCTTATGGTCATGATCACTGCAAGTAGTCTCTTGCAAATTCTTGATCCACCAGTTGTAAATTCTTTAGCCATAACTAGGTATTACATCTAGCAGCTCAATTCTGAGAGTTGTAAAATACATGAAAAGACTGAAGGTACCTGGGGCACAGTGTAAGCTGTGATTGTTCTTAGTCCATTGATTAGTCAGACTTCCTTTATCACTGCAGAACTCAGCACCATGATGTAATTAATAGTGGGATAACATTTGTACTCTGTGACCTATAGATCTCTTTCTAATTTTATTTGTACCAGTTCTACACTATTCCATAATACTGATTTTAGTGGAGTTTCTGCAGACACACATCTGTGAACTTTTCTAAGCTTAAATTTATAACCCTTGTACCTTTTGATATGATTCACTAATAAAGACACAACAAACATTCAGCTTTACAATCACAGTGTATTGAAGAAAAAAAAAGGAATAACCTCTCAGAGCTTCTCATATTCTTTGCAGCAAACCTGACTACTTCTGATATTTTAACACTTCTTTCCACATCAAAACAACGACCTTTGGGGCCTGCTGCTAGTAGTGTATGTGTACAGAAAAATTATCTAAGTTTTCTAAGACCAGAAATTAGGATTGAATATATAAATAAATTATGCCTTCTTGTAATGCCAAATGTCATTATTGTAAATCGAATAGAAAAAGCAATAATTTCTCTGCACTGATATAAGTTTGATATTCACCACCATGGGATTTAAAGATTGAAGTAAAATGTATATAGTCAAAAGTACATGCTGACTAGCTGAACAAAATCAGAATAACAAGAAAAGGAGGACAAAAGCTACAGAAATTATTTGTGAGTGTCTTGTATATGAAAGGGAAAATATTTTGCTAACAAAATCAATTGAACAAATTAGATCCATGAATCCTTGTGTAAGATCTTTTTTGAAATTCAGGTTAAAGGAAATTGGAATTTTTTGCCTGGCGCTAGTGCATACATCTCCTTTCTGAATCTGATTCATGTATTACAATATCAAACACCAAGCTTCCTAACGTGCTGAAATTAACTCTTAATATAGCAATAATCGTTACTGTTATCATTCATAACATCTTTAGAAAATAATTAAACATTACTGTTCTTTTGTTATAAAGTTCTCTATTGCCATTAAAAAGAGATTTGAGGGTCTGATGTAATTTAGTAAATTACAGCGTAGTTAACATTTTTATGCAGTGATGTAGACAGTAGTTAAGCATACTTACAGAGCATTGTACTAAATTACTTATTCCATGCAGTATTTGGAGAAACTCATCAAAGCCAGCTGCTAGCAGCTTTGTTCCAATTTCATTATTGCTTTGCAGGCTGATGTTCCTCAGGGAGTGATACGGGTGCAAGCGCCTCATCTTTCGAAAGTTTCCATGGCAATACAGCTGACGGAAGAACTAAAAGCCAGTGATATAGTAGCCAGGTTTCTCAGCCAGCAGAGGTACAAATCCCTTTTTGTTTTACTAACATTTCAGAATGAGTATTTCCTATCACACACACAAAAAAAAAGTTTTAAAGTTGGTTGAGAAACAGCAGATATAGTTAACAATTAAGGTGTTTTCAGTGATCACTTGAGCTGAGTTTAGCCTGTTAAAATAAACATTTGATAAGCTAATGATTTTGATTGTTCCAAGAAGCACTTCTAATGTTCCTTAAAGCCAAAATACTTACATATTGAGGCCTTCAGGAATATGGCAAAGTGCAGTATGCTGGTAGAGAATTAATTGCTGTTTTGTCAGCTGGGTTAGGAATGGCATCCATGGAACACAGTAAGTTTTTATATCTTCCTGTGGAGCATTTAGCAGGGAACTCTTAAGAAAAGAAGTCTGAGAGAGAAAAAATGGGGAAAAGAGAAGATAAAACCTTCAAGGAAAAAAACTACCATTAATTCATATATAAAAATACGTAGACCTATGAGGGAGACACACACACAGATGTAAATCTGTTTTTATATTTGGGCCTAATCCAAATCATGCTGAACTCATTGGAAACTTAAATGGACTTTAACATCATTAACTTAAGTGGACTTTGGACCCCATTGTATGTGTGTGAATGGGAGGGAGGTAATGCAAAATAACTTTTCAGCGTCTACATCATTTATATGGTTATTAATGATGGTGCAGTAGCATTCCATTCTGGTTAAGTTTAAGAATTTATTCCCATCTACATTCTTTTTTTAAGGGGCTTGTGATTTTGTCAAAAAATTCCTTTCTGCTGCATGTTGTAGCATCTCATCACAATCAGATGAGAATTTTATTGGTCTCCCCAACAGTTTTGGGGAAAAATTATGGTTTGCCCCCGCCCTCCTTCTAGTTCCAGAAAAATAAAAAGGAACATAAAAGCATGATTATGCCTTTCCTTACACTCTTGTGCCACTGTATCAGAGATATGAAATGTATGATGGGAAAATCATTTTTGCAGTAACAGTTAAAAAAACAAACAAAAAACCAAAACAAAATAAAAAACAGAGCAGACACAAACTGTCAGTAAAAAGATTATTCTTTTCTAAAGGTCTCAATTAATTCAAGTCTGATTTATTTTACTTCTTCGTATTTTACTAGGCTGGATTACTTGTGTTTTCATTATCATACTGGTGTGATAGTCCTTTTCCTTTCTGTATGTTAAGAGATAGGTAAAATAGAAATGTAAGGATAATTTCATTGCATTGTCAGTTTCTGTAACTACCATAGCATTTCCCAAGCACATTTAAGTGGTTTGATTGCAAGCGATTTGGTGGGATAGCTAATCATTTTTTTTTGTTTCTAACAGTGGAGTTGCCCAAGCTCTCAAGAAAGAAGAGGTATTTTTATATGAAATTGGAGGAAATATTGGTAAGGATAATTTCTCAACAGATTCCCTTGCTGAAATGAGATTGGTTGGGCCTAACTTTGCGCTCAGTTACATCCACAGACACACATTAACTTCACTGTGGGTGCATGTAAGTGTGAAGAGGCAAAAGTTTGGCTCTTTAAAATTAATCAATCAATTAAAAGTTTTGAATTAATTATGGGCTTGATACCTTTATTCCAGGGGTTCATTAGTAGTTCCCAGGCCCTAACGGTTGCATGTTCACCCAGAGCCACCTGGCACAGCTTAAAAAGTGAGCAGTCCTGGAAGGAGAAGAAGTAGGGACCAGCGTAGTCACATCCAGAAGGTTCACTGATTCGGCCTAGGCACTCTCTGCTTGCTTAGGTTCCATGGATCGTTGTCTAGGCTCCCACGTGCAAGAATGCCTGGGGAAAGCACTTCTGTGCCCCCACGTTGCATGGGCAAGCATGCACATTGTGTCACAGTCCTCCTTTGCAGATGCATTAGTCCAAAAGTAGAAAGTAAGAGGTAGGTCCAAAGTATGGAATAGTCTATATTATGGGTCTCTGCTAAGCTGGCATTCCTAGTAGTATTGATTGATGATTATTTGCATTTTTAAAGTGTCTATCACCATTATATTAATGTTTTGCCCTACAAGTTTATATACCAGACATGCCCCTGACAGAAACTCTCTGTCCTTCATAACTTTCTCCTTGAAGGGTCCAATTCACAGTAACCCCCACATATGCCACATATTTTAGCATTACAAACATGAGGAAGTGAGGTCCTTAACATACCCGAAAGCTAGCCTGTGTCCGAGCCTCAGCAGAAGCAGATTCCATTCTGCCTCAGCACCTCCAAATTGTGCCCTGGTAGAAGAGTCCCTACCAGTTTCCAAGCCAGTGTGAGGCAAGAGTGGCAGTCACTTAAATAATATGCGAACATCACTCGGGGCTTTGTAGGTGAGGGCCAGAACCTGGAATTGGACTCAGAGCAGCACAGGAAACCTGTGCAAGATTGGTGTGTCCTGTTCAGAAGTTAGGCTGCTGAATACTATACATATACAATAACCGGGCAAATTACTAGGTGTACCTTTTAATAGTAGTCCAGTTTGAAAGTTAATAAAAGCATGGTTCTCATCTGGAAGGAAAGCTTAATTCCAATTCCTGCCCAGTCATAGGCCTTGTCTAAGCTTACGCTAGATCAACGCTCTGGAGATCGATATCCCAGGGTTCAATTTAGCAGGTCTAGTAAGGACTTTCTCCAGAAGTGTAGAGCTGGCGATAGAGGAGGAAATGTGGTTTTGAATACTGTTGCTGTCCGGGTGTTTAGCAACAGAGAAAAGTTCAAAAGATTTGAGAGTAGAAGAGGTGAGATGATGGTGACAGGCTTTTGCATTTCTCTGAAGTGCTGTTCCCTGCCAACTGGCAACACTTCTGTTTGGCCTCGGATGAGTCTGAACCAGTTGCTTTTTATCCAGTAGTTTACTCCAGTAAAGCATCATGGAAACCTTAGCGAGAAGGAAGCAAAGAGCTGGTGTCATCAGCATGTAGTTGACACCTTAGTCCAGGGGTGGGCAATAATTTTTGGTGGGGGGCAACTCCAAGATTTTGTAAAGTGGTCAAGGGCTTCACTTTTCTGTAGAGGAGATACAGGGTTTAGGATGGAGGTTAAGTGTAGAAGGGTGCACACGGTAAGGGAGTGGGGTGCAGGAGATGGTGGGAGGTCTGAGAGGGAGTTTAGGTGAATAAAGGGGTTGGACCTGGGTCAGGGATTTGGGGTGTAGGGTCAGGGAGGGAGTAAGGGTGCAAGAGAGAATTCTGGCCTGGGGAAGGGATGCAAAGTCTGGGAGTGAGTTGTGACCTGGGAGAAGGGAAACAGGCGGACTGCAGAGGATTTGGGTGGTGACGTGAGGCAGGGGAATGGGGTTCAGCGTCTGGGAGGGTGTTTGGGTGCAGAAGAGGATTCTGGCTTGGTATAGGAGGGGGTATAGAAGTGGTGTGGGAGGGAGTTGTGAGCTGGGGCACAGAGGGTTTAGATGGTGACCTGGGGAGGGAGTTGGGGTGCAGGAGGGGCAGGGGTGCAGAGGCAGGCTCTGGCTGGGAAGCACTTACCTAAGTGTTTACTAGCTAGTAGTACTGCAGCACACCCAAGACAGGCTGGACTCCCTGCCTACTCCAGCCCCAGATCTCTTAAAACTGCAAGCTGCTCCCTCCATGTGGCTCTCACTTCTGGGAGGGGGAAGAGGCATGTGCTGCCCCCATTCCCCAGGCCAGTCTCTCAGCCCTGTTGGCTGGAAACGGAGAGATTGGCTGAGTTCAGTTCCTATTGGCTGGTTGTTTCTAGCCAATAGGAGTTGAGGATTGGGCTATGGGTGGAGAGATCACACAAAGCCCCTGCCTGCAGAGCAAAGAGCCGCACAGACTACACTTTAAACTGCGGCAGCTGCATGTCTGAGGGTCCCGTCAGGGTGGTCCGCGGGCTGGATCTGATGGCTTGGCGGGTTGGATCCAGCCCCCGGGCCATACTTTGCCCAGCCCTGCCTTAGCCCATATCCCATTGTCACAGCTTCTCCTAGTTCTCTCTCTGTCTATATAAAAAAGTTTTTGGTGCTTGGTGACAGAATGACATCATCATGCTCTCACACTCTCTGGCCATGAAAGTGAAAGCGGCCAGAGAGAGGGGGGGTTGGCAAGCACAGGGTGCAACATGCTAATTTATTTTTAAAAATGAGAAATATTTAAGTATACGGAACAATAAAAGTGTTCTGTCTTCAGGCTCACTGTTAGGGCTTCCCTTACAATTCCTGTCAGGGAAAGACTCCCTGGCCTTCCTGTGGTGCAAGTTTCCCAATCCTTACTCTTTCCAGCTCGGAATAACAGCTTATTAAAACAAGAGAGTGGCTTAGTGTAACTAATACCAGAACTACATTTTGAATGCAGTGCTAGAATTTTTCTTTAATGAATGGAAAAGTGTTTCTTTCTAAAGTCTGTATGGAGAATCACTCTAATCAGACATTTTTAAAAGGCTAAGCAAATTAAATCATTTACGAGCTAGAAAACCTTAATTAAATTTGCTTTGTTTTTTCTATTAACGGTGGCCTACGCTTACCAAAATGTATAACTTTAAGCAAAAATATAATACTTTTGTTCTCTCTACAGATTCTAACCTGTTTTTTCTCTACCATGTTACTGATTTAAAAACAGCTAAACAGTTTTTATAAAAACCAAAATAATTACAATATCAGCTCTTATTATAAGGACAAGTTACAGTGTGGTATAGCTATGTTTCAGTTTTTCTAATACAACATTGTAAGAGCAACTAGTCACAAAAGTTTTTATTCTGTGCTCATTATTCTGCATACCTAAATGTCTGATAAAAATAGTATTAATTTATATCAAATGTCTGCACATGTTCTCCATGTGTGCCTGCACAGATTCTCTATATCTGTCAGGTTCATGAGGCTGTTTTTTTAAGAGAGAAGCATTTGTTTATTTTACAGCAATATTAATATTAATATTATAGAAAAAGAGCTTGTGATCAACTTCAGTGGAACTGAGACTTGTATGGTACTACATGTCAAGTACATTGTGGTAGCATATAATGTATGTACATAAATAATCCTGGGTTTCTTTGCATGTATGTGTGTAATCTACTATATATTTGAGAGAGTCTGTCTGTCTCTGTTTATTCAAGAACTCCTCCTAAATGGTCAGAGCGAGGACCACCAAATTTGGTAGGCAGCTTTCTTTTATCATAAATTAAAACAAAGCCAAGGGTTGGTTGTGCAACAACCAACCATGGGACATGCCTGGAATTCGATTGTTTCTCATAAAATGGAAAGGGAGGGCTCTGCTGTATAATGACCTCATGGTGGCAGCAGGGGATATGGGATGGAAAGCAAGGACAGTTATACTATATAATGGCCACAGGGTGGCAGCAAGGGGCCAAAGATGGGGACCAACACAGCTATTAACCCATTGGGGTATGAGGGAGCAGGAGTGGAGAAAAGGAGAGGTATCTACTATATATTTGAAAGAGACTGTCTCTTTGTGTTTCTGTCTGTTTGTCCCCCAGCCATGGGGATAAGCACCCCTCCCCTTACTGTGCCCGCTACATCTGTATTAGCCATGGACGGGTGTGTCTCACCTGGCCCCAACCTCCTGTGGTGAAAGAGGGCTGGGGTAGTTCTCTCTCCCCTGAATATTGAACCCCTCATCCCTAGGGCAATGATTTAAATGAAGAAAAACAAAAATTAACTGAGTTAAGGACCAGAGCAACGCCAGGTACACCTTCTAGTCTACTATATATTTGTTTATTTGTTTGTTCAAGAACTCCACCTAAACAGTAAGAGCTAGGACCACCAAATTGGTAGACAGCTTTTATCATCATAACTTAAAGCAAGGTCAGGGTTTGGCTGTGACAGGAAAATGGGATGTGCCTGGAATGGGACTGCATCTCATAAAACCATATAGAAAAGAGAGAGACTTACTAGGCAGGTGAAAAAGGCTGGTTGGAGGTGCACTCCCATCTGGGATTGCTCCAGCCCTGAGCCACCCACCCCCTAGGCATGCTTTAAGGAGGGTAAGGGGGTGAAGCGCCCCCATCAGATTCATACAGAGACATTGCTGGCTGTTCCCATTCATCAGCGAATGAGGGGAAAGTATCCAGTTTCCTGCATTCTTCACTTCGGCTGGGGAGTGCACGGGGCAGATGAGCTGTGCACTTTACTCTTGCTCCCAAGCAACACTGGATAAATGTGCTAGTTATAGAATATAATGTGAGTACACATATTTTGTAATACTGGGAAGCTCTGTGGTAGTCAAGCTGTGTGTGTGTCTGTGTGTGTCTGTGTGAGAGAGAGAGAGAGAGAATTTTTACTTTTAATTTATAACTGGTTCCTTAATGTGTAATGTAGAAACTGGTTTATTGATTAGTCCTTCTGTTTGAAATGTAGTTATTCTATGTGCCCGCTAAAGCGAAGATGTGGCAAGTTGGAAATTTACTGAACATTTGATATGGTATATGGTGGAATGTTGGAAACCTCCTGAGTAATCCTCCCCTTTTCTAATAAGTCTTTGTGATAATTGGATTTTATCACTCCCTGTGCTTTCTACTTCTAATTACTGTATCAGTTACTGTGGGGCTGGTGAAGAGAAGCTTCCTGACTTTAAGCTGATGGGCAGACAGACTGACTCTTTTCATTTGTTGTGTCTTGGCTCTTCTGCTCTTGGCTGTCATTTTCTTCACGACATAGCAATCTCATGCAGAGATTGCACAAAAAGTGGCACAAACTAACTGCTCACTATGAAATGCAGTAATATGACCAATAATATTTAATTATTGATCGTTGCTGCTGAGTCTTTTCTCCTTCATCTGTATTCTATGCAAGGCTGGTAGTATCAGCAGGTTGCCTGGCACTATTCATTATAAGATCCTATTTTCAGTTGCTTATACATTTGCAAAATTTTAAAAGTTTGGTCTGAAATGTTCCATGCTGTGTGTCTGCCTCAGGCTGATTATTTTGGGGGCAGGGATGGAGGCAGAGAGAGGGAGATGAAATTTCATCCTAAACTGATAGGCCATTTCTGAGAACAAGGTTAGAGAAAAATAACCTTTTCTTTGAGAAGCTCTTGGTCCTCCATGTTTGAAGCAGGGATTTGAAGTTTGGCAGGAGGCCAGCCTTCGTGTCAGTTATGAAGTCATGAAATTAACCACTGTATCTTGTGCACAGGGAGCTGAATTAAAATTGCTCAAGGAATCTTAAATTTGCCATTTCTGAACTTATGAATGCTTGACTTTGTAGCCTTAATAATGTTCTTTCAGCAGAGTTTGTGTGTGTAATACATGTGTATATATATTACAGTAATGTTATGTGGGGTCAATTTTCTCATTGAAAATAATGGAAAAGGTTGCGTTTCAAGAGGTGGTATCTGTTGGGACCGGGACACAAGGTTGGGCGAGAAAGGTGACTGGGTTACAGCAGGGAGGGGAGGTGTTTTGCTCTGGGGAAGGGAAGGGGAGGAGAGGGGAGGGGGATTGAGGTGGGAATATGCCCCTGTGACGGGTCTGCTGGGACCCACACTGCATCAGGAGAGGGGGGGGTGTCACCGGGGATGGGCTGGCTGGGGAAACCCAGCTGCCAGCCTGCAAGCGGGGGCGGAGGAGAGGGGGCAAGGCATCCAGTGAGGGGGAGTCAGTGGGGAACGGTGCAGCGAGTGGCGAACCCTCCATCACTTTGCAGGGAGGCGGGGGAGGCCCTGTGCAGCTGCCAGCAATGGGCCAGCTGGGGAAATCGTGTTATTCTGGGGATGGTCGTGTAATTCAAAAAACGTTCCCTAAGAAAAAAATCGTGCTATCGTGAAACTGTGTTAAGTGGGCACATGTTAAATGAGGAATTACTGTATGCGATTACTTGAAGAACTAGGGAACATAGAAGACTACCGCCCAAACAAGAAGGCATATTCATGGTTCTTCCTTTATTAATATTGACTTGCTGCCTTTCTAATCATTGTGATACTCTTATGTTCATTTATGCTTAAATTATTATTTTCGTAACAACTAGTAGACGTTAGGTTAGGCAAAATATCAGCAGAAGTTAAACAATGCACTGATTTTCTCTCCCTGACTTGACCTATCACAACACAGCTGTGCACACTGGATACACAGGAACTGTTAACAACAAGATCAAGACTCATAAGAGCTGGGAGTAGAAAGGGGCACAACTTTCTTGATCAGAAGTGCCACCTCTTAATCTCCCCTCCAAAGAAATTGAAAATAACCATAAATATAACAACCTTCAGGTCTAAATGTAAAACCCAGCCTTTAGACTTATCCTTAGTAATGTCAAACCCTTTAGCTGGTGTAAATCAGTATAGACAATGAATACCTCAGTTTACATCAGCTGAATGATCTGAGCTAATTATGGGTATGATAATTTTAAAACTCCCACTAAATACAAATTCCCATGAGTCAGGGGAGAAAAATAAGAGCATACATTTTTGTGTCACTTTTCTTTCGTTAGATACCAAAGCGATGGACACAGTATAAAATCTAAATAGCTTGGAATAGTTCAATGAACACTGAAAACAAATTTCTTTTTGTTAGGTGTACATCTCTAATCACACATCTCTTTTTATCAGGAGAACGCTGCCTTGACAATGATACCTACATGAAAGATCTATACCAGCTCAACCCGAATGCTGAGTGGGTTATAAAGTTCAAGAATAATTAAACTCATAACAAATTACAAAAGAAAAAAGATCTGTGAACGGGACTTCATAATACTGTGGACTGGATAAAAGAACAGGATGTGGTTTTATCATTTGCACGCATTGTACTATGAAAGGAGTATTGTCAAGCTGACTGAAACACCTACAAGTGGTCTCCACTAACCTGGCAACATTTACCACAGTCACAGCTCAGCAATATCTGAGATACTAGCTTTCCCTGCCACACATACTTAGACTAAGGACTCATTGCGTGATAACTGAAGCTAAATGTTCACTGTTCAGTGACAACCATTATATCTTGCAAATAGTCCCATATGGCAGGACTTATGTTCATATCTTTAATCTTTTTGCACTAGAGAGATCTATATTTTCTTTTTATATGTGTTTTTATAGCACCAAGTATGGTGGGGAACCCAGTCTGGACTGGGCTTCTGAGTGCTACAGTAATAAAAATATTAAATAGGAATATTTAATTCCAGAGATATAGTTTCCTCCGTCACTGTGAGATTCAAAGGGGACAAACCATAATGTACTATATCTTGTCTCTGCCTTAGTAAGTGTGTCCCCATTTTTCCTTTTAGGGTACATTTTGATGAAAGTTGGGGGGGTGATTTTTTTTTTATGAAAACATCTATTTCTCCCCAGCGCTCCTTGTAGGCAAACTAAGTTGCACACCCTTTAATATTATTGGTCTGGTGGTTGAATTTTTAAATGGGAGCACATACCAAGGTGAGTCCATTTGAAAGAATGCAGTCCTTAGTAATGCTGGAATGTTAGCATGTAACAGCATCAAGTTATTTTACTAGTGCCATACTGGGACACTGCATAAACTGTGGATTTTCTTAGATCATCTCACAGAGTTCAAAACAGTTTGCAAACTGCCAAAGGCTGCCAATAACTTATGAATTCAGAACACAAACATTCACAATAAATAAAACAACTGTGGCAAGTAACTGGAGTCTGAAATTCAGATTTAGCAAACTATGAAAAAAAATCCCAATGCACTTCTGAGAGCATGTCTTCACTGCTGAGGCAACCCAGGCTCTTACTTCTTGCCACTAAACCAACTCCTGACCACACACATAACCCTCTTATCCAACTGAATTGGTGCTTTATAAGGCTATGTCTACGCACAGCAGTATTGTTTTGGAATAACTGACTTTATTCTGAAATAACAAAGATCACGTCTACTCTACAGGCCTTTATTTCAAAATAATGGTGAGCTCGGGGACTTCTTACTCCGACTCCTGGTAGCCCTCATTTTACGAGAAGTAAGGGAAGTCGAAGGGAGAGTGTTCTTCCTTCGACTTCCTGCTGTGTAGACAGCACCAAAAGCTGAATTAAGCTATTTTAATTTAATCTACACAATTGATGTAGCTCAAGTTATGTAGCTTAATTCGACATTAGCCCTGCTGTGTAGACATATCTACTATCTGGCCTTTTCTGGTTAAAGCCCAATTTCTGCAATGAGGACCTACGCTTTGCAGTGTAGCTATTCACCTGAGCTAGCTCAATGCCAGTGCCACTTGGTTGGTCTAACTCTGTAATGAAAATGTATCTTCTCAACCATATTTTCCCCTTAAACACACTTACATTGATTTCACTGAACTCAAAGGGAGTCTTGCACACATGTCCAAGGGAAGAATCAGGCCTTTTGGACCTGATTCAAAATAAGTGACATCAAAGGGAATCGTTTGAATGAGCTTTGGATCAGGCTCCTACACCATTATTCACATATGAACTTATATTTACACTGTTGGAACTGTTTGTCACCGCAGCGACGGATCTGCAATAGAATATAACTGTAAAGGTTATGGAATGTGTTCTTGATAGAAAGAGCTTTGTGAACATCTGCTGATTAGTTATTTCTTTTTAGATAAGACACACAATGTACGAACAATTTGTGTTTGTCTTTTTTGGTATTTTTCTGTTTTTGTTTTTAAACAAAACAGCAGAAAATATTGCAGTGGGGCAGGAAGAATTGTTCCCAGGGATTCTATAACAAGTTATCTTGTGAATAGAAAAAAGATACTCTATTGTAAATACAAGGAAGGGAGTAAAAAACAAGAAAACAAACAAAAAATCCCCCATAAAAATGCTTGCATAAATATTTATGAGCCTAGAAGTTAATAAATATAAGGCAATTTAGATGTGTAATATAACAAATGTGTGTGTTCATAATACTTTATCTGTAGCTCTTTAAAAAGCTGATTACATGTTACTAGAACTCTAGATGTTATTTTAATCAGGAACAAAGTGCTGATGAGAAGACCAGCTGTAAAATTTCACCCTGGAGGCTATGATAATTTAAAGAACTTAGTTCCTGGTTTAGTGCCATTACTTTTTTATTTAAAAATAATTTTTATAATTAATTTTTAAATTCATATTTTAATTATTATGCCTGTTGTACATGAAATATACACAAACGCAATGCTGACAAGTTGTTGATGAACTTTTTTGTTTTAAATGCCTCACTTCATAATCTGTACAGGTAGTCTATACCTTTATATGTAAAAGAGATATTTCAGAAGAAAACTGGTTTACTTGGTATTTTTTTCTTATGAAAACAGTTAGTGTTTTACTATATTCCATATTTCCTTAGGTGTTACTTTTATACATCCTGTAACAACCCACACAGCCTTGGAGGTTTGAATGCCCAGTTGGCCAATAGCCACAGCAGGGTCCTCAGTTTAAACAGGAAGATTATTTATTTATCAGGGTGCTCTATTTTAGTACTACACTGCAGTTTTGGGTGGGCTTTGACACAACAATCTACAATATATATTTACAGCAAATATGTAATGAAGCAGGGGCCTCCAGCATTTGCTGTAAATGCTATTCAAGAATATGTAACTGTAAAATATCGTCAGTGCATAAGTGAAGATCAAAGAGCATGGAGGTGAGCTGATAAAATTTTTTTGTCATGAAAAGACAGTATGGGCATGATTGGTCATCCAAAATAATTTGACAGTTGCCCTTCACATGACTGAATCTGCTGATGTAGTGCTGTGCATCATCCAAATCAGTGGTTTCAACCTTTTTTAAACCATGGACCGGCGCACCCATTCACAAACTTTTGGCAGACAGGTAACATTTTATTTGAATATTTTCATATTCATTACGCAAATAATGAATATTCAAATATGCAAATAAAATGTTACCGGTCCAGCAAAAGTTGTGAATGGATTTGCCGGTCTGCAATATAAAAAGCCCCAGCCCCCAGAGCTCCCAAGTGCCAGCCCTAACCCCTAGGGCCCTCCCCACCCATAACCTCCCAGGCCCAACCACTGATCCCAGAGTGCCCTGCACCCAATCCCCCCCCAGTGCCAGCCTCACACCCTCAGAGCCTCCCAGTGCCAGACCCCATCCCAAATGCCTCAGTGCCAACATCGGCCCCTTAGAGCCCTCTGACCAGCCTCCCCAGTGCTAGACTCCTTTTCCAGAGCCCCACTGCACCGAACCCCCTAGTGCCAGCCCCCAGTCTCCAGTATTAGCTCCATCCCCAGAGCTCCCCAATGCCAGCCCTGCCTCCAGAGACTCCTTAAGACTAGACCCTCCCCCAGAGTCCCCCAGTACCAGCTCTCCACCCTGGATGCCCCAGTGCCCCCCCCGTGCCAGCCCCCACCTTTTAGAGCCCCCACCACCCAGAGCCCACCAGCACTAGCCCCTGGAGCCTCCAGTGCCTCCCCCCCTCCTCCCCCAGCCATGCCCTGTTTCCTAGCTGCCAGCTGAGTGTTGCTGCCCAGATCATGGCTACTCTATGGTTGCTATTCCAAGCTCCGTGTGTTCCTCTCCGTGTGTTCCGCCCCTGCCCAGTGCTGATTGACAGAGGTAGAACAGAAAATGCCTCTCGCAACAGCCACGGCAGGAGAAGAGGAGCTGGGTGGTGTACCCAAGCCTCAGTCCCCAGAGCCACCATGGCCCAGCAGCCAGGAGTCTGCAGATCAGCAGCTGGGAACCGCTGATCCAGATAATAGGTTACTTCATCTAACCCTACCATAAAATAGGTGATATGAATGAAACTGAAAATAATGCAACCATCTCCCACAATAATTTCTCTATCAAAGCCTCACAATGAGGGAGCTAGAAAACTGACCTACTTTTTTTGAAAATTTACCATACCAGAAGTTATGTCGTTCACACTGTTGGCAATTGTAGCATTTATTAGCTGTACACAGGCAATATGAATTTCTTGTGCAAGAAAGCCCAAAGGCTAAAATGGCCATTGGAGCTTTCTTGCGCAAGAGAGCATCTACACTGGCACGGATGCTTTTGCGCAAAAAACATCTTTTGCGCAAAAGCATCCGTGCCAGTGTAGATGCTCTCTTGCGCAAGAAAGCTCCAATGGCCATTTTAGCCTTTGGGCTTTCTTGCGCAAGAAATTAACTTGGCTGTCTACACTGGCCCTCTTGCGCAAGAATACTTGTGCAAGTGGGCTTATCCCTGAGCAGGAGCATCGGAGTATTTGCGCAAGAACCACTGATTTTGTACATTACAAAGTCAGTGTTCTTGCACAAATACTTGTGGGCACTGTAGACAGGCGGCAAAATTTTGCCAGTCTAGACACAGCCAATGGTTAACAAAGAGGAAGAGGATGTTTGTTTCATGTTAGAGATGGGTCCAAACTGGAACCCCAAGTCTAAACACCTCCACAGGGCAGAGTTTTGAAATACAGATCTGAATTTTGTAGGTTGAGCTCATCTCTGCTTTACATCCACTGATGACAGAGAAACCTCATTTAGCTCCTTCGACCAAAGCCCATTCTGGTTCTTTCTAATCCAAACCCACTCCTACATGTTTTAGACAATTGGTAAGAGATTTGGATATATTTTCCTTAACATTCACATCATTCATGCAGAGCCAGTTGAATTGGCATCACAAGTAGATTATAGACTGAAACCTGGTGGAATTCATCAAGGCCTTATACTTTGAGGCCCTGTCTTCACTTACCTGCACTGTCGATCTACTTCAGTTTCGCAAATAGCATATAGCATAGCTAAAGTTGATGTACTTACCACAACATCTCGTGTCGGGTAAGGTCGGTGGGGGATGCTCTCCCATCAGTGCCGGCCACTCTTCTTGCCTGAGTGGAGTGGGTGGGAGTGAGCTCAGAGATCAATTTATCACATTTACAGTAGACGCTTGTGGACCAGTTGCTGCCGTGTTGGTCCCCAGCATAGTGGCAACAAGGCCTGAGTATCATCTCTGCCCCAAAGTTGAATTCCAGCAGCCTGTTGTTCTAATACTTTTGAATTGTTTTATCCAGGTTCTTACTTACCTCCCATAGATACATTAAAAGTGTGGCTCAAAGAATCATCTCTTTAAAACTCCAGCAACCTCAGGCCAGCTCAGCATATTAAAATTGCAGGTTTCAGCAGGGGAGAGCTGGGTTCTGCTGCTATTGAGAGAGAAGAGATGCCTGAGGGTGGGAAGAAGCTGTTGTTCTGCTGCAGTGGAGGAGCTGCTTGCTTTGGAGGAGACACCTCCTGCTTCCAAGCAAACCTAAGACCTTAGTTAAGATACCAGTTAGCCAGGATGAATTTAAAAAACGTGAGTGTCTCTCAGCTAAACCACTGCTAATACCAATGGCTGTAGCCCTCTCTGTGTTGAGCAGTATCTGCCAAATGACTAGCTAACTGGTAGCAGGAAGAAGCCAGGAGCCTTATTTCTCCAAGCTCCCTCTAACTACTTTCACCCTCTTGAAACATCAGCCAGGATAGTCCAGCTCCCCTGACCCACCCTCTAAACACACATACACACACCACCCAGGGGAGACCTCTCTGACAGGCCCAGGAGAAGCACCTCAAAACTTCCATCCCCACTGAGCATCCCCCCAGGAACAGAGGTTTCAGGATTACGCATCTTGCGCAACAATCACTGATATGAAGAACAGATGGCAGATGAGTTTCCATGAGGATGCTGGGAAACATGGGAGGTGGTGTTTGCCTGTGGAAAGGGCAGAGGTGGAAAGTAAGTAGAAATACTCTCTCCTCAGACCCTATGCTACCAGCACTCCTAGCTACCTTCACTACACCACCGACTTCCTGAGGAAACTACAAAACATCAGTAATCTACCTGAGAATACCATCCTGGCCACCATGGACGTAGAAGCCCTTTACTCCAACATTCCACAGGAAGATGGATTATAGGCACCATCCCTGATGACAGCATTGCACACATGATTACAAAACTCTGTGACTTTGTCTTCACCCACAACTACTTCCGATTTAGAGACAATTTGTATCTTTAAGT